GAGAGAGAGAGAGAGAGAAGAAAGAAGAGAGGAGGGGGGGGGGGGGAGAGAGAGAAAGAGAGCGTTTTTGTGTCTCATCCCACGTTTACTTCAGTCAGAAGTCCTTCACCAAATTGCATACTCTAATTCTTTAGACACGCGGCGGAATCACGCCGCCCGCCAGAAACAGGCCACCGTACTCGTCACTGGAAAACACAAACACACCACCCTTTGCATGGTCGTACAGCAACGCAACGCTATTCACAACACCGCAACGGAATCGTTTCTGCGGCTTTGTTGTGGGTCTCATGGGAATCGTCGCCGCCATAGCCAAAGCTGCACCGGCGGCACCGCCTGTAGAAAGGACTCCGTTCTCTTCTACAGGCGGTGGGGTCTCGTTCAAAGACAAGACTTGACGCAGTTCTTTCTGGGCAGCATGGGCGAAAGGCACATCGTAAAAAGGAATAGTGCTACTGGCTTTCCCCTCACCATTGGAGCGGGCGACGCCAGAGTGAAAACCATTCCCCCCAGAAACGCCCCTAGCTGCCAACTGCAGCTGACCCAAAAATGAGAAGCAGGGCGACACCGCTGCCGATAATGGTATGGAAAACGAAGAGGAAAAAGAAGTGGCAATAGTTGAACTACCACCACAAAGACAGCTTTGCCGTCGTCTGCAGCCGTTGCTTTCCACATCTTCTCGAAGACGCCGGGTGCCGTCTTCCTGGAGTGTCGCACAGAATGGAGGGAAGGGAATAGGAACAACCCGCAACAACTTTGTCACAGCCTTCAACAGGGTGTCCATTCCATGCCTTTCCGCCAATTGACTCAGCAGTAATTGACGTTGAAGACTATACTGATCGTCATTGCGTGGCGAGGGTAACTCGCTGGAGGTTGTACTACTTGCATCATCCGTTTGATTTCGCTGGTTGTCGTCGTCGTCGTCGTCATCGCTCGCTCCGTTATCCCCATGTGAAGGACGACCACTTAAGCCACCAAGGTCACCCAGGGAAAAGTAAGAGCAGCGTGTTCGTTTAGTTGGGGGCCGAGTTCTGAGGGAAGTTGAATTGTTGTTTGAATTTACCTGCTTTCGCAGATTCAACACCTTCACACGAGACCCTGTTAAGGCATCAAAAACGTACGTTGTGCTATGAAGCGCACCAACTGCGACAAGCACCATTGAATCGTCATCATCACCATTGACACTGTTGAAATTATCATGGTCGCTGGTATAGTTATTCCCCATCGCTTCCTCCTCTTCCTTTGCCTCCTCTCCTTCCTGATCCGCTTGCACATGACGCCGGAAGCGTAAACTTGGCGTGCCTCCAGCTGGACCACAACTCACGCGTCCAGATACTGACAGTGAAGGTGAAGGTGCCTCTGATCGACGCCGATCTGGATGCCTCACAACTGTGACAGCGCACGGCAACATGTAGATTGGGGCCCGCTTCCTGTGGGAATGAAATTGTGAGACACCATTCTCTGTAAGCGTCGCTCGTGGAAGTACTGGACATACAGGAATGACACGCAGAACACTACCGTAGAGCACATCAAACACCATACAAGCATATATGCCTGCACGATATTCGAGAGGACGTTCATATGGAACATTGACTCGACTTGGCCCAACAGAGGCCATAATACACAAGTAGCGACCGTTTTGGGCAACGGGCGACAACCCAACATTCCATTTTGGCTTAGGATGATTATTTATTGTGTTGTAACTTCCACCCCCGTTTACTATATTCTGAGACGAAGTGCCAGTTTTTCTATGATATCTTCGACCGGTATTGTTGGTGATGTGGCCGTTACCGTGACCTTGCTTTGCCCACGTTTTGCATGCGTCAGTGTAATAACTAAGTGTGGATGATGCACTTGATGACGTCCAGGACTTTTCACGGAAAATAAACTCATCACAAGTCAAGGAGTTTTCATCGTCTGCATCACTCCAAACCGGATTGCCGGAGGCTGCCATACTAAGTAGCTGATAGGGCTGCGGCGGCGAGGCATATCTGGTTTTCTGAACATCTGGCCAAAGACTCACGGTGTGGCACAATAACTGTGAAACTTCTTCAAAAACTAAACGAGACCCTGTACGGTAGAGAACGGCCTCTCCAGCGAGAGAAGCAGCATTATTGTACCTCTGTGACTCTCCATGAAGCGTCGATGTCTTCTTCCTCTCACCCTGAGAATGACGTGGACGAAAAAAGGAGATGGGATTGGATCCATCATCCATGTCCCTGTTCGCACCTCCTTGACGGCGGTTTCTGTAAACTCCGGTAGCTTCGCCCTCCTCATCATCGATATCTTCATGATCATTGTCCATCTCAGAGCCGGAGGAAGGCTCCAACACAGCCAGCGTATGTGGACCAAGGTAATCTCCTTCCTGGTGCAGGACCTGCTGCACGATACGACGACCCAACTTACTTCCCCGTTTCGTCTCGGTCCCCGCTGGAACTCCACTCTCCTGCACAAGCTTTGACATTCGCGACACTGCAGATTCACGTCCCGTTCGACCACCCGCCAAGCAACGGCGATCAAAACCAATTCTGCGAGTCCCCACAAAAAAAGCATCCTGTATTTCCCCATCTTTGCTAGAATACGCTGAGTTTTGCATGAAATTACCATCCCGTAGTTCAGCAGGCGATTGCAATGCGGCGAGTGCGGCAGGGAGTCCACGCTGGGAGACGACGACCACATTGTCCTTTGCATTTTCAACGTCACGCTCATTCCAGGCATCGTACATAGAAAGCTGCCCACATTGGTTAATGGTGTAAAATGCCTGCATCAAAGGCGAGACCAGGATATCAAATACAGGAAGAGTGTCGATGCGCTGGATAATCGATCCATCTGCGGGTAACCAACGAAGAATGAGGTTATCCCTACCAGAAGAAAGACACTGAAGTGCAGAGAGGCGCCGATGCGCTTCTCCTTTCCACAAAGGACTGTCCACTGGAAGGGGACAAATACGCGACGGCGACGACGACGTGCCTCGCCAAAAGCGAGGATCCAACCAACGTGTGACTGTGATGAGAGTTTTATGAATCTGAAATGCACCGTAGAGGCGATCCTCATCACCACACAAAGAGGGGTTTAAGACATCTGATGATTCACACAGACTATCTTCTCTACAGTGCAGTGAGTAAAGAAAAACTTTACCTGTTGTCGCATGATGAGAGCGATTTGCCTCACTACCTTCTGGTACATACGGTGGGGCATTCTGCACGGAGCATAGAAGAAAGCGCCCGGACGGAGAAAACGCAAGAAACGACTCCAGTTGCTCGTACCAGTAGGGTTCCTTCGAGTCCTTCGCTAGAACAACATCCAGGACACGTTGCTCGCAAAATGATTCTTGCAATTGTTCATTGATATATGTATGAGGCAAACTTTTTGCGGTGCGAAGCGCAAATACAACCAATCTCCCCTTTGTCGTTAAAAGGGCCAAAAGAGATCCACAAGGTGTCACAGCAACAATCTGTACTTCATTCAACACCACATCTATTGGACGATCAAGGTTGTTGTCCGTTGAACTCACGCCATCTTCATCGGATTCAATGGAGGTGCTCTCTTCGGACTGGGTCACTTCACCCGTCTGATGAATCATACGGTCCATCAGCGATTGAAGCTGAACCTGAAAAGAAGGAATGGGCGGCACGGTCGACGCAGCAGGTTCCTCCATCGCACCTGACATATCAACACCAATCCCAGTGCCATCTGAGAGGGTCCGAGGTGGGTCTGCGGTGGCTGAAGTAGCTTCGCCTGATACAGAGATGTCCCCTTCATAGGTCCTCACTGCGGCAGGCTCATTCCTTGCCTCTTGACTCTGAGTTTGTTCCCCGCAGCTTCCGTTGCGAAGACCTTTTTTTGCCCTGCCATTTCCTTGAAAATTAACCAAAAGCCTGTGTACCGCCGGGTTTTCCATAGATCCCAGTTGGATATCCATATGCACCCGCTCGTTCTGAAGATCCAAGAGAACTTTTGGTGCACGCAGAATTCTCTTTAGTAGAAAATACAGTGGAACACGTCGTGGCGTGGAAGCACGACTCACGTGATATGGCTGTCCGGTCGCCAACGCACCCAAAATAACCATGTTAATATCACTGTCGTAATTTCCAATTGTGCATGAATGCGTTCCTCCATGAATTTCCTTACGGTTCGACAAAGTTTCACCCGTTTCATGCTGCAATCCATTCCCCACAAGTGAAAGACGGAGTGGTGCACTTGACGTTGGTGCACCCACGAGGAATTCGTGTGCAGCTCTCTTGAATGTATTCACAAACGTAGACCCAATGTTATCATTTTCTTTTGCTTCCTTGGTACTACGCGAGCATGGGAGACGCGAAAATGAGTTTTCCTCTTTTCCCTTATCAGCAATTGGCATGGAACCCTTGCAATTTCCTTGGTTTGCATCGTTCAACTTCGAAATCTGCGCCGCGCAGTTTTGGTACCAAAATCCCAACGAAGCTGAGACAGTAGGCGACCTCTGACAAACTTCATGACTTCCCCTTCGTGGAGTTCTCTTGGCCTCACAGGTTGTACTTTCCGTAGACATCTGAAGGTGCTGCAGGAATACGTCCGAAAATTCAGCAAGAGAGCCAACAACCCAGGCAAGTAGTTGTATTCTAAGAAACATCTGTGCCCAGCAAAGTCTGGGGTTAGGCACCGATAAATTTTCCGCTGTGTGGCAAGGTGACTCCGGCACTTCTTCTCCTTCCCTAAGGACTGCATGCCGCACCACATCCATGAGCCTCTGCCACGACTTACGCGCCAAACCGTCTCCTTCCACCTCTGCCTTTGCCTCTGAAGGAGACGCGTCAACACTTTCCGTGACGGCAATAGCTTCGTTCACTCCTCCGTCCAAAAAATCATATGAGTGGTGCCCTTTATTTTGATGCTCACAGTGGCTTATGATCCACGTAGAGACGTCCTCTATATTTTTCCTCAAGATGGGTGCACCACGGCAAAACAATTCAATAATCCCGCTGCGCATCTCCTTGAGTGAGACTGCTCCCTCGCGCGCAGATGCGTACGAGAGTGACAGGCCAGTTTTAATGTCTTCTGGAGAAGGCAACCCACCTGCCTGTTGATTTTTACCCTGGCAAGGAGCAGAATGCTCGAACATATGACTATTAACTTCTACCTGATGGGCATCAAGCAATAGCCGTTGAAGTTTCTCATGCAACATGGAAAGGCGCTCCAAAATACTGTCCCGATGATGAAGCCATCCTTGAGATGTAAAGTCTGCCCAAGATACGACCTCTACAAGATACACCTGTGCCCACAACACTTCAACGTAGGCAAAAAATACCTCCAAAAGGGATGCCCATTCCAAAGGCAAGATATCCACTGACTTGGTCCTACTTGCTTCCTCCCTATGCTCCGTTGAAGAGTTATCAAGAGTCAAAAAGAGGTTAAAGAGTTTCCGCAAGTAAGGTGTCAAAGCAATCAACTCCCCGAGACCATTGTGGTTCGTGTCCTTATTGCAGTTTCCCTCCATGAGAGGGGCGTGCTGGCTCGTGTCCCACCTGAGAGGAGCGATGCCGAAACGGCAGAGCTCTTGAAGGGCACCCACATTGGTTACTTCATCCCCCTCCTCACTGTTTTGATGCATGAGAATGCGAAAGAGCGCCATTCTAGACACATCTGTATACAAAGGAGGCGGTTGCTTCTCTGACTCACTTTCCACGTTGTCTGCTGCACATGCTGAGTTGCCGCTGCCCTCCTTCCCGTTGTGCCACATGGTTCTGGCCTCCTTCAAATTGCTGTTGGAAGCCTTGTTTTCTGAACGGTCCAAATTCAAAGGTTGTGCTCCATTGCCAGAGGATTTTAGATGCTCCGTAGTAGGGCAAGCAGAACTCTGCAGTCGTCGGCAACTTTCCTCCTCCAGTGTTTTGGCAGTTTCAGTGAAGCCAAGGTCTATCAGCAACTTCTGCAACAGACCGTTGGCATGAGGAAAATTCACCTGTTCAGCTTGGGACTGGGAAGCACAATCCTCCACACTTTTCTTTGTCCCGGCGGACCCCGAATTCCTCCTTACCGGCATGTTGTGTGAGTCAAAAACAAAGAAGATTGTTTTGTGTGTGTGTGTGAAGGGGGGAGGGGTCTCAGAGCAAAAAGTGTCCGCCCACCAGCAGCCTTCTTTATCTTTCTCACCCGCCCTGCGTGGAATATTTAAACCTCGATGAGGGCAGGATGCGGTGCAGCTTGTGCCTTCCTCCGCCAAGCCGATGAAACGTAAGAAGACACTGAAAACCAATGTGCTCCTCCAACTCCTCCTTGCCTTGTTTTGGTCGTCTGACCAATTCGCAGAAACAGAAAAAAAAAAAAACCGCCCCCAGTCCAGCGCGTGGTTGCAGACAAACAAACAAAACCTAAAACGAAACAAACAAACACTAAGTAGTTCACTCACCAGTGTGAGTGGCCTGAACAAAAGTTCTCACTTTTTCTTTTTTCCTTAGTCGTCTTTGTGTTTGCCTGCGTGCCTCCCTAATAAGCAAGAAATATAACTATAGACAGGCAGAAATATGTGATTGTGTGTCCGCTCGAAGGTATTGTGGTACTCTGGACTGCCGCAAACGACTTACAATGCAGGCAAATGGAAAGCATCAAAAAAAAAAAAGAGGACATAGATAGATAGAGAAGTGTACAGCAAGGAAAGGCATCAGACAACACAAAATGGGTCTTCTTCTGGTTGTCGCTATTGTCTTGTTTGTCTGGAGTCAACGTGCTCCGCCATGAAAGGGGCCTGCCTGGAAAACAAGCGGAGCGCAGCAGCAAGAAAGCATGACAAGCACAGTGCCACTCAGCTCACCGACCACATTAGGAATGGGTACTGAAAAGACAAAGAAACAAATTGCGCGGTGGATTCCCCTCACACGCAACGCAGAAGAGATAATAGTAATACAATAAAAAGAACGAAAAGGCTTAAGATAAAACAACAAGAAGAAACCAAAAAGAAAAAGAAACTCCTCTTTTTTTCCCTCCTTGCGTCGTCATTGCGCAAATTCTTCACTTGGATGATGCATCTCTGGATTCCTTACAAAGTGCCGGCGGCGCAAGACCCAGCTCCGCGCGGAGAACAATATGCTCGCGCCGCAGCAGCGCCAGAATCATCAAAAACTGTTCAGTCTCTTCCTGCGTATTCCACGACGGGATCACTTTGGGAATCAACGGAAACCTCAAATTGGCGGCATTGGCGTCCTTATCTACTGGACCACTGCGCCTCGATTGGGCGAAGTGACTCGAGTGGGGTGTGTGCGTTTTTCCCCCGATCCCGGCAGGGCCATCCAAAGGAAGCTGCCTCGCGCGCCGCACCGTGGTGACGGAGAAAGGTGAATCCAACACCGGCAACGGATACTCACTACCGCCCCGCACGGTCTCTGGTGTGCCGTCCAAAACCACACGTCTAGTGGCGGGAGGCTGAATCGGCTCAATGCGCACATCATCCAAGTAGGCATCCAGCAGCTCATAGGCTTCCCTTGGTAGCCGCATTCCAGAAACGAGAAAGTCCACTACGTTCTGTACAAGGGCAGCTCGAATCGGATCAAGCGGCGAAAGCGTCATTTCAGCATCTTCAAGCACAGAATCGTAAAGCGCCTTTACATCATTGAGACTACTTACGACAGGATACGGCGTAGAAGAGGGTTGTTGTAGCACCGTAGTTTTTGTTTCAGGTGTCGTCTGCAACAACTTCGTTGTTGTTGAAAATAAATATGGCGAAGGATTCTTCCTGCGCGTTGATCCCCGCGCGTTTTTCACTGCAGGAACAGTCTTTCGCACAGTCGTGGAATGAGAGTCGTTTAGGGATGCCGCTGCAACCCCGGTACCTCGTACGGATCGTTCGGATGCAAGGGCAAGATGACGCATTTTGTCAGTGCCGCCATCACGCAGGAGGGCAGCCATAAGACGCGTCACAATAAAACCACGAAACGGTGGGGCTTCTTCCACATTTTCTTCCAGCAACGACTCCGCTATGAAGACGGTTGGATCACCAAAAAGTCCAAACCCCTGAAGCCCAACATCTATCGAGGCCAAATTGGGACCAAGCAATTTAGACGGAATAGCAGCCAGGGTGGAGTCGAGCGACGGTGCCTCTGAACTGCTATCAACAAACGCGCGTGCGGTCCGGGAGTATGCGTTTCCAGGCGCAATCCACTCAGATACATCCTCTCGTTTCTCGTTCGGTGTGTCGTTAAAAAGGACACTCTCACTCTCTTTTTCAGACAACAGGTTACTTGTGTCCTTGTTCGTTGCTCCCCCCGTCGTTAGTGTTGCTGCGTTTCCTACTGAGCCGCTTTTTCTTAACGAGCGCTTCGATCCCCCGCGGCGCTGTGTTGCTTGATGAGCCGGCGACAATGAGGGTGGTTTCAAAGCCACATTTTGGTTGGACAGCGAGGGCAAAGAGCTGGACAAAATAGCCAAAAAACGCTCAAAAAGATCTTCTTCCCACAAAAGCCTGTACATGTCACAAAGCCATTTGCGATAGAATATTGTCACACGCGGGTCCACAAACTGTACTGCGGGAATAAGTAACTCTACTGTCGTGCTGATCACTCGGAAAACAAGAAGAGTCACTTCCTCCCGTATTTGTTGCTGCATAAACTGTGCACTGGAAATATACTCCTGCACTTGTTTAATCATAAGTTCCAACTCTGCCCCAAGTCGACGTGGAATAGCTGGCACACTTACATGCCCTTGCGACTGATGCTGTGAGGTGGCCGCGGCGGGTTCCATAGAAGACATTTTTGGTGTTGGTCGATCTGTTTCCCCAACAGATAAGGAACGACTCGCAAAGGAGCCGACAGAGTTGTCCTCTACACGCTGGAGAGACCGAAGAAGCAAGTAAAGCACCACATCGGTGGGACGCACGACCCCGGTGGCGTCTGCCATAATAGATAACGTTGTGGCAGCATGCAAAGTTTCCACAGCGTTATCACCAAACACGCCGGGGCTAGTGGCACTTGCCTGCACTCCCTTTGGTCGTTGACTACCACTTTGTGTACGGCGTGCGAGATCAAACGCTGTGGTCAAAGCACAGTTGCCACTGGCAATGCTCCCATCAGTCGTCTCCGTTAAACCCCCAGCCAGTTTTCGTAGGTCCTCTGCATAGTTACGAAGGGATGGGAATAATTTTGACAGTAAACTAAGTGCCGCAGTGGATGGTAAGGTGATAAAGCGCCCAAACACATCTCCTTGCTGCATTGGTTCACTGCAGCAGGGTTCATTGGCGGCATCTATCACGGTACTGTTTTGCTCCGCCTCTTCTACACTTCCAAAGGAGCTGTTCAGTGAAGAAACGGAGGAGGGGCCACCAAAAAGGAGTCCTTCTACCAACATGTTTAAAAAAACTGCAGTCTGATTCATTAAACAACCTCCGGAAGCGACTTTCAATGATGCAGAGGCCATTACTGTTTCATCCCCTTTATTTCCATCAGAGTCTCTGGAGACGTTTTCAGTATCTTCCGCATTCTGCATTGTGCGTTTTTGTACCATGGTGTCCCCAGGAGTCACATAACTGGAGCTGGCCTCCTTGCTATTTCCACTCATGCGGGTTAATTTTGTGAACGTGTGGGGCATCACATCTTTCTGAGCATCACCAACCGGCTGCATGGTTTCCTTTGTGTTACCTCCTCCCGGGCATAGCAGGTTCATCAAAGCGGTGATGTCATCTTTTGAGATGTGACCCTCCAAGAAACTGCGGAACCCCTCACGCCACCAAAGTCCTTGTTTACCACTAAGGTTCCGTAGTAGAGTCGTTCCAGCTAATGCCTGTGACTGGAGAAGGTGCGGTAAATGACTGGCAGAGCTTGAAAAATGGTTTGTAGTATTCTCGTTGCCGCTTGTACTGCATGCACCTGAAGCTGGCAAGAAACACGCCGGGTGCATCTGACGACCCACATCACTCTGAAAAAGCTGTCGCAACTCGGATAAGCAGTTAGGTCCACACGCCTCCGATGAATCGAATGCGCCTGGCTGGGCCTTCAGTCGCGGCGCAAGAAGGCCAACTGCTGAAGGGTTAGATGTGGTGCTCCGCGCTTCTTTCAATGTCCCAGCGGCCTCATCTGCCGTACAAGTGAGCGCGCGACAGCCGCACAGATGGTCCACCCAGCGAGAGCGCTCCAATAGTTCCACAAGCATCACCACATCCTGATTAAGGAGCGACTCAACCTCCATAAAATGATGAAGATCTTTCAGGAGACGTCGCACAAGAGCGTCAAACGCGCACACAAACGCGCGCCGCTCCTCTTCCTTCAATAAGGCATCGAAGCGTGAAAGCGTGAGGGCAAGCTCAACTATATATGTTTTGCAAAGAACATCGTTACCCTGCTCAAGACACTGCATCAACGGGAGAAACTCGTTTCGCATAGTGGATGCGATTCCTGGAAGGGAATTCGAACCAAAAAGCATCCCATAGGAGAAATGCATGTCTTTCGCCCGCGATGTCGTTTCCGCACCACGGCTTCTCATTTTACTTTTAGATGACGAATATGACTTCCCTACAGACACTATTCGCCTCAAAACGTTTTCGCAAAATATACACAGACACTAATGCCGTACGTTACCCTATCCTCTTAATGTGGTGAACGCAGATGTGAAACAAAAGCAACAAGGTATGTGGATTCCACAGAAAGCCTCCAAACCCTAATAATATGAAGGCGATGAAAACGAACCCGTGTGGGGCATGTGGAACCCCACAAGAGGGTCCATCTTGCCAGCAATCGCGTTGGGGAACGACAAATAATATTAGTAGTTTTATTATCCAGAGACACCCTCGCCCATACACTTTCTTCTGTCAGCATCCGTCAGAGAGTTATATTCACTTCTCAGCACACACACACACACACACACAAAATGCGGGGTATGCACACTCCATTATATATATATATAATGTTTTTATTTTCTGTTTCATGTTTTTGCATGTAGCTTCTGATCAAGTGTTGGTTTGTTTAATTTTCCTTCACGTACCTCGACGCAGAGTTATTCGGCACTAGCAGCGGGTTGCAGAGTGTCCTTCTGCATTCTTGTCATATCAATGATGTAACGCAGAGAGAAGTAGTTCTCGTTTGCCAGCTCCGTCAATGGCCGGTGCTGGTGCAGTCCACGCTGTAGGACCTTCAGCGCGGAGATAACGGGACCATTATCCTGCGCAAAACCGCCTGCACACTCGTTTGAGTGCAGCATGAGTGATTGCGCCCAGAGTAACGCCTGTTCGAGACCCCGGCTCTCCTCCACCTCTCTGCTCACCCACTGCACCAGCAGAGAAAAGAGTACGGAGGGGACGGACGAGACCACAACTGGAATGGCCTCCCGCGGCATCCGCCTCAAGCACTCAACGCCAAGCATTCTGTCTCCAAGGTTCAATGCACTCATCAGGGCCATGACAGGCTCACCGTTGTCTAATTGATCACGAACCTGTTGCGTTGTGATGTTGGCTCTGAGTTGCAACGGCTGGAACTTGGGGCGTGCAACGCGAGTAGAAAACACCAGCAGCCCGTCGGTGGTGGCCGCCACAAATTCTGTCCCTGTGCACGCAAACGCCAAGTCCACCGTGCGTGCCGTAAGAGCGGTTTGACGCTTTCCTGTCGCAAAGTGGCGGTGCCGGCTTCCAGGCATTTCCAGTACTTTCCCACGGCGCAAGTGAATGTCGGTGTCGTCCACATCGATATTGTCGACGTGCCCGGCCTCCGTTATCTGCCGCCACTGGTATTGCTCCTCCGCCCCCTGAACATCCTGGTTCGTCGTGACAGGCCACTTCTTCAGCATGTAACCCTGGGTGGCGTGGTACATCACAATCCACTTGGAGTCCCCACCGGCAACAATCTTCTCACCCTCCGGAGAAAAGGCAATGACGTTGAAGCGGGCATTGTAGTTCGCACTACGTGGGCCCACCGTCTTGTTCCACCCACCAGCGGCGTCAAAACTCGTCTGGAACGTTTTTATTATAATCGGCTCTGTTGGCACTACTGTCTCGTACACAGATATTTCCTGTTTCATTGTCAGCACCGCCAGACGGCGACCACTGTTGCTAAATGCAACACTAACCACCTCAGAGCCAATGTCCACCACCTCCGCATCACCCTTCAAGCGGTCCCCGCCATCGCCGCGGGTGAAGAGATCCCAAAAGACAAGATTATGATCAAGCGAACCAGAAACGAGAGCGGTACCAGAGGGATGAAATGCCAGACACGCAATAGGCGCCTCATGACCCTGCAGCTGATCGATCAATTTCCCTGTTTGCACTGCAAAAAGAAAGATGCGATCCGTTTGCCCGCTACCTACTGCCAGAACTTCTCCAGATGGATCAACGGCAATGCAAGAGAGCTGCGTCTGTTCGGGTGCCGTATAGACACGAAAGTGACGGTATCGTACAAGATCGTAGCCCCTTGCTGTGCCGTCCCGACTGCAAGTAAAAAAGGCATTTGTAGCCGCACATGTTGCTATGCCTGTTACTGGTGCTGTGTGCTCGGTAAAAGTTACATAACATTGACCGGAGGACACCTTCCATACTTTTACTTTGCCGTCGTCACCGCCCGAAATGATGCTGCTAGAATCTGCCGTAATGGCAGTTCGAGAGATATCGTAGTAGTGCCCCTGATCCTTAAGGACGTACGCCTCAGATTTCCAGTCCCACAGAAGAAGTTGTTTTAAATGAGCACTTCCAAAGGCAACAAAGTCACCACTTGGGCTAAAGACCGCGGCTGTGAGTGACTGTGCGGAGATGGAGAGTAGGTGCACAAGCGTGAGTTCCGCCTCATCGACCGCGGCCAAGGAGTGAATGGCAAAGATACCAGAGTTGTAGCCAATCGCCACAAGACCACGACGCTGATGAAAACAGGTGACAGAAACATTACCTTTATGGGTTAATAGATGTTTCTTGTCTATCTCATATGCACAGCGGAGGATGTCTGGGAGGTACGTGTCATCGGCAACGGAGACACGCACACCTTCAAGCTTCAACTGCTCTAGTCGCCGCTTTTCTAGGAACGATTTTGGAACACGACCCGCCTCATCATCATCATCATCTGCATTCTCTTCAGTGGTTTCATCTGTTTGCGCTCCTACACGCGCCTTCAGCTGCGCAGCGGCAACAGCTTGCAGCACCTCTCCACGTGTTACGGGTGTACGCTTCCATGTGATAATCACGTTATCTGCGGAGACACTTACAACACGGCAGCAGGCGTCATCAATAAACCAGGCACCATAAACGCCGGCGCGGTGGCCTACCAATGCGTTCTGTTGTATGGCCATCCCCTTACGCTGCACATTCCCTTGGCGAGGGTAAATCTTCATGCGAGCATCTTGTCCGCTCAGTAGCAGATGTTCACTGTCCGGTGTCCATTCAATGTTCATAATGGGCAACGTCAACGCCGCATGGAGGTTCTCCACCCGATGACATGCATGATAGGCCACAACGCGCTGAGCCGGGGCGGTGTACACTTGAAGAGTATTTTCAAGGGCAAGCGCAACATACTTGCCGCACGGGCTAAACTTGACGCAGCGGACCTCGCAGTCAGGTGGAAACGCGATGGTATCAAGCACCACCCCGGCGGAAATAGCGTAGAAGAAGCCGACCCCGCGCCGCCCAACTGCAATCAGCAGATCACCATCCTGCGAGAGGTCAAAACACTGAATAGTGCTGTTACTACACGAGAGTGAGCGATGCCCTTCCTGCTGAACCTGAATGCTCGAAATGTAATTGTTGACGGGTGAGTACAACTGGCGACCGTCCGGAGAAAATGCAACGTTGCCGCCCGTGTACAGCATGCCATGCACTGATGCCAGTTGAAAATTCGTCTGCATTGTCTACCCCCCTTTTTTTGTTTTTTTTTGTTATCTCCTTCTCTCCCTTAATGTTCGTCTCTTTCCTCCTTCTTCTTCGCAGGCACCCGTTACGAAGTTCCCTCCTCCTATGCAGCTGTCAAGGCAGCAAAAAGCAGAAAACAAGACCAAACAAAAAGAAGAAATTTACAACAATCACAGCTCAGGTATTACACTTCAGCTCGTGCTCAAAGTGTCGGCAGCTGAACACCCCACCCCAGCGACCCTCATGCCCCGCCTATGCATCTAGTTATTTCAACACATGTAAACACAATGGTGTCCTTAATCTTTTTTTTTTTATCATATCCCTTTAAATACAGTCTTCCTTCGCTCCCTTTAAGCATTAATCTTTGCTATGCTCCCTTGGCTCCTACTCTCTGCTGCATGCCTGCCCCGCTAGTACACCGTGTCAGCGGCCACCTCGTCGTCGAGGTCGGCGTCAAAGTGGCCCACAACGTCCCACTGCGTGCTTTGCTCGTGCGGGAGATTCGCCACCGCATTCACCGCCTCAGGGAACCTCTCTGTCAGCACGTCATAGTAATACTGCGCCGTACTCATCATCAGCTCGTCGTTCACGTCCACACGACGCAGCATGGGGACGTACACTTCCGGCTTAAGATCAGATGTTTGCAGGAGTCCGGTGCTGGCCAGGGCAGCAGCAGCGCGCAGCAGCCAAGTGATGCTCAACTTGTCGCTGGCGCCGACGCTCGCCGCCGTCCGCACGCCGTCCACCGCGGCACGAATGAATGCCGGTTCCACGCGCTCCATGCAACAGGTAACAAGCGAGTACGCAAACGCAAACCCGCCAAGAGCCCCATTACCCCTGGAAGCCATCATTACCAGCGCCCTCTTTTGGAGCTCAGCAAGCTGCCCATCAGTAATACTCGCCGACTTGCACAACGCCGCCACGGCCACACCGGCGACAGCTGTAGTTGCTGGCGTCTCTGCCCGTTCCCAGATGGGCAAGACAAAGTCCAATAGTTTCGCAATGTGGCTCAGGGCCTTGGTAAAGCGACCGTACCGTATGACAACGGAGATGAAACGGCACATAACGCCACAAAGCAAAGGGCTGTCAACCGCCGCCTTCTTTGTAACCACCGTGCCAAGGATAATATCAGCATACCTCTCAGACCTCCGTAGCAACTGAATGACGACACGGAGCGCCAACACACGAGCCTCGCCGGTGTCACAGAGAGACGCATTAAACATTGCAAGTGCCATGGTGCCCTCCACCATTTTCTCCTTTCCGCTGGCGGGGTAATTCATCAGCTGCAGGCACAGTCTCACAAGCGCAAGAACAACAGCTCCCTCATTTCTTGTAAACAGCACCTTTGAGCAGCGGCCAGCGACGGTGTTGGCGGCACCCGCGCTCACACGCCGCGGTGCAAACGTCAAAAGATCCTGAATACACTCCACTGCCTGTACCTTTTGCATGGAGGTGCCGTAATCAAGACCCCTGTTATAGAATGTCATGAAAACGTCAAACAGTCGCGTGGGTTCGCCCTCGCCAAGAACACCGAATTCCGGATTCGCCTCTGTAACCACTGCACGAGCCGTAGCCCCCAACGTGTTTTGAAACAAATCCAAGTATTGCAACAAATAGCGACCAGCAGCGCGCTTGCTTGTGGTAAGATCCTGTTGCTCTTCTTCCTCCAGAGACTCCACCACACGTTGCTCGAGTGATGCAATAAGGCGCGGGATCATAGAAATCGCAATACCTCGCATTTCATCCTTCTCGCTCCCAAGTACCTCAATGGCAGCCCGAAACACCGCGGAGAGGCCCTCAATATGGTCAAATGAGACACCCAAGCCATACGCCTCTGCCGCGAGAAGTGCGCCACGTTGTGTCGCCGGAGAACAAAGTCCTTTTTCCCAGTGTTCCATTGGCAAGTGCTCAAATTCACGGGGTAAACCTTCAATGAACTTTTGGTAGGTTTCGCTCGCCCCATCAAGCCCCTGCACAAGAAATGCTAGAAGTGTTTGACTAATGGTATCGGTGAACCGGCGTAGCTGCTCATAAGCCTCATCCACGTCAAGTATGGCATCGAGCAGCTCCAGATTGTCTTGTGTGTACACAGATCGCTGAGCAAGATGCTTGAAGATAATGCCAAGCGCCGCGCCTGGTTTGACCTTCACCACCTCCACCACACCGCGCACGGAGGTCTCAATTTGTGCCTCAATGGCATCCTCAATAAGACGTGGACCAACCGACCTGGAGACCTTCGCAAACACATCACGCGCGCACTCCTGCACCTGCGGGTCTTTGTCCTGCATACCGGGAAGCACACACCCCACAATCTGGCCGCCCATCCCAATGAGGCGACGCGAGTCAATGTACACCACAACGTTAGCAAGGCACACAAGTGCTCCAAGTTTGCTTCTACGATTGTTGTCCTTGTAACGGTCACAGAGAGCCTCAATTAACTGTTCGATCATCTCATTCAGGCGGGAAGTAAACTCAATCGTTTTTGTGGCCATCTCTACACAATCCAAATTTTCGGACGAAGCAAATAATATGAGGACATTGACTAGGCCATTAAATATCTTCTTCACGGCACCACGAAGACTCGCCACACACGTCTGCCATGCATTATTTGTGCCTGTGCGAACCTCTAGATTACGTTCATGACGACCACAGTACATCGCGGCCAACAATCGCGTGAAGCTCTCCGTTCCCAACATTTCTTCAAGAGAACCAAGAATGGAGATGCCACGCTTCTCCACATCGCGTGCAACCTCCATCTGCAGTATACCACCGGATTCGGCATCCCCCTCTCCCTCGCCTTCTTGCTCTAACATTTGTTCCAACTCTTTCATCTTGTCTTGGTCCCCAGCCAAATTCTCCTTGGCCACATTAATGCGCATCTTCTTACGAATCTGCTGCACCAAGTGAATAAGCAGCTTCGATGCGAGCAACATGGAACTCTGACGCAACGTCGTCACCTCACTTACCACACCAGACAGCAAAGGCTCAAGCACCAACGAAAGATTCCGTGTGCCGTACAAGTTAATGACACCTGATCCTGCCACCAGTGCCACATCCCGCACACGATCAGAAAAGTGTGAGAGACCTTCAAGCACCCATGGGAAGGACAGTGGCAAAAATCTCTGAAAGTTGGCCGGGCTGAAGGTGGAAGGCGCGTACACCATGATGTGTAAAAATCCTTCACGTACAAGAGGTCGCTCATCCAACATACCTGCCTCAATCGTGGGGAATGAGTCGTATAAAATGGAATCCCCACAACTTTCTACAACTTCCACAAACACCTGAGCGGCACCCGCCTTTTCAATCGTGCTAACATGTGCCTTTTGTAGAATCGCAAAACACCAGGCCACAATATCATCCACCATTTTCCCACCAATGGCAGCAGAAAGAGCTGCAACAGCCTTGGCGCTGGTTGTACGAGCCTCCGACATGGGATCCATTGCGGCCTCCTCAAGTAGCTTTACAAGTTCTTCAGAGTAGGGTTTGAGAGACTTCGGGTCATTGACAAGGTTCACCATAGATGCCACAATTTGGGCTGCCTTCGGACGGAGATGTGGCATTTGGCTACTAAGGCCACGTGAAAGGATAGGTATAATAAGAGCCAACGATGCGGGATCCACGGCATTCACAAAACGCGTATACAACAACGCATCCAAAGCATTCTCCGTTTCCGTATTAGGAGAGCGTAACGCAGCGAGAATCAACTCCACATGCTCCCGAATCTCTGTGTTTGATACCACACCTGCAACACGCCGCAAAGCATTCATCGCAGCCATCGAAACATTATGATTGACGTCAAAGAGGCAAGCGTTTATGTGTTTTGTAATCTCTGGCAGTGTGGCGGCCAATTGTTTAGGAGAACAAAAGGCGACATAACCAATAAAATTTAGCGGAGGGACGCGCAGTTTGGCCTGTTCTGCTGAAAGACTATCCACCAAGCAAGGAATAAGCTGCCGTAGACCCACCGCAGTCAAGGAACTCACCATAATACGTGACGCGTCATCAGCACATTGCGAGACCTTTGGATCCTTGTCGGCCACACCCTCAAGCAAACCGCTGCACATGGCGAGTGCGTAGGGCTCAAATTTGGATCCCATCTCCTCAGAAAGAACCTCCAGGAGCAGCATCACTCCCGTTCGCTCAGCCTGATTCTCCTTGACGGCCTTCTGCATAATCTCCATAATGTGGTAGCGTCGCAGGGAGGTAAGGCCCAAACCCTGGATAACACCGACAAGCCCATAGGCGTGGGCTTTTTTCTTGATGTAGGAACTGGAGTGGATGACTTGTTTCAAACACTTTTCCACAAACTCATCCAGCTTTGACGACTCTCGTACTTCCGCATTTTTTGTGATCTCCACCATCGAGGTACACACCGCTCGATGCACCATCGCTGAGCTGGACTTGTTCAACGTGCTACTCTGCTGCTCAACAATGGATTCCAACAATTTCGTCTCCTTGAGACGACAGCTAATGATCGTTAGCCACACCGTAGAGGTGGCAAAGTAGAGCTCCTTATGTGCATTACTGAGATCCTTAGGTGGTTTACCGAGCCGCGTCTGAAGTGTTGGAGCCAGAGACCGTAGAATATCCATCGCACAGTCGTTCAAAACCACGCGTCCACAGGAGAGGATAAGTCGCATAAGTGGTTCTGTGCTAGGGGACTCTGCCATGTCGCACAAAAACAACAGGGCGTTCTGAAAAGCATCGCCGATCAAGGAGGAAGAGAGAACCTGAATGGCGGCAACAGCGCCTTGTCCAGCGATACTTTTCAAATCCTCAAGCCACAACTTTTGTTGGGCCCCTGTAGTAGAGGGCAGCAAGAAGAGTTTTCGCATGGCTTCACCAATGCGCACAGCGTGTGACACGTGCTGTTGGCCGTAGTTATTTAAAAAGTAAAGAAGATCATTCCAATCACTTGGCTCAAGCGAGAAGGCGTACGCTCTATCCTGCGCAACAACTTGCATCGCCTTCACCACCGCCGTAGATGTATCATGCAGGGAAACCGCCGCCAGGACCAACGCACGGCGACACGTCAGGAAGTGAGAAAAGCGATGATATGCGGAGGCAACCACCTCCTTGACAGCGTCCGCAGGATTAAATAGACCTAGCTCGAGCGCCGCAAGATGCGACGCGGGAATAAGCGCCATAAGCAGATTAATGCCTTGCTGCACACTCTTAAAGAGTGAAGGAAAATTCTGTAGGATGTTGGTCAGCAGTTGCAGCGTCTCCGTGGGTTGTGGTAGTTGCGACTGTCCAAGATTTTGCAAAAGTACACCCATAAGCTGGTGCTGCGTTGCAACAGGAATAGTCGTCTGCACGGCGTTGCTGCCACGGCCAGCTCTAAACGCCACCCGTGAGAATGGTAGCAGCACCACAAACAGCGGAGCAGCAATCATGTGAGTAACAGCTTGACGCAGGTGGAGCGACATCGTTGAGATCTGTGACACATCCCCAAATGTGAGTATGGTTTTATTATGCAGCTGTGCTACGGTACGCGCCATGTTCTCTGCCATGGGTGCAAAAACCGTTTTCGAAAGCAAGCCAGAAATCGCATCCAGAAGAAGACGCTCAAGAACCTCGGGAACATCGCTGCGGTTCAGCGTTGCCTGAAGGTACGGGTAAAGTACTGCCACCCCCTCGGTAGGGAAGTGTCCTGTGGTTCCAATCGTACGAATAGTCGCCAAGGGCACCTTATTTTGTCGTATTGCATCCTCAATCACATGCTTCCGTTTCTCAATTTCCGTGCGCAACACGCCGCGGCCCTTTTCAAGAGCAATGGCATCTCGTCGTTTCATGTCCTCGTAGTCGTCCTCTGACATTCCCTTGGGTGGTTTCTCTGGATACGTCTTGAGAAGCTGTTGTTCTCGTAACGCCTGCGTTTCGTATTCGTGCAGCGCCGTGACGGAGGAAGCCGCAATGGCACGGTCACGTGCATCAAGGGAAATTAGGTAATCCACTGACTTTTTGGTGACCTCCAACAATGTATCAAAGGCTCGCTGCGACGACAGCGGGCTGGTGAGAAATCCCAGAAGGAGCACCAAACCACGACTGGCTGCGGTACTCAAATGCGTCGGACCACTGAAATCACCACAGAGTTTAGTAACAAGTGTATCACCATGCATCGTTAGCAGATGTGTGTGCTCCCCTGCAAAAAGTCGATTAAATATCGACGACTGCACCACCCTTGAACTCGTCCGATAACGGCCAAGTAGAAACGAGGTTGTGTGGAAATAATATGGATCTTCCCCCTGAACATGGTCATGCCCACAACACAAAAGAACTTCACAGAGTGTCGTCGTTACCGGTGTCTTCGCTGTGTGTTGCAGCAGTGCGGAGGCTACTGGGAGCAGTGCTCCAACCGCGCTGGAGGACAAAATTTTAGGTTTCTCCTTTTTTTCCAACCCAAATACGATGCGTGTCAGGCTGTCCCACAGAGCGATTAAGGCGTTTGCATCTGTTGAAAGCGTCGCAACATACGAGGAAAGACGATGCCGCAATAATCCACTCTTGTGGGTTAAGAGAAGCGCGATGGGGGCAAATAAGCTGAGTTTGGCAAGCGTTACTGCAGTTTCCACAAGACCATTTAGCTCATCCAAGTTTCTCCCCAGCGGGGACACTACATCCGCCTGACAAAGAATACCACACAGCCGTGATACCACGTTAAATCGCCTCTGTGCAGCAATGCGCAAGGCCAAAAACGCATCTGTTCGGTACACCTCCACTTCCTCACACTCCTCCAAAAGCGGCTCTACAAGGCCATTAATGACATCCTGTGGTGCTCGCTGCGGTGAAATATGCAGTAACATCACCCGTCGAAGTTGTTCATTGTTGTTGGCACTCTTTAGCGCGGCGCGCATTTCGTCTGCAACCTCGTCTTCCACTCCAGCCACCCGAAGAAGTTTCCAAGCTGCGGCGGCAGTTTCAATGGCAGGACTCGCCAGTTCACGCTCGATCATTCGGGACAAATCGGAAGCTGCAGCCCCGAATGGTGCAGCCCCAGAAACAGCGTCCATGATGGCAGTGGTAAGAGTTATAATGGAAGCCTTTTCAATCACACTCCGGCATCGGTTTAGCACAAGGTATGAGGCCGCCTGAGCAAACAGAGGTAGCAATTCCTTCTCGGCTTTCATATGAAGAAATAGCAAGGCATAAAGATTTTGCCATTCCCCTGCCACAGCAGAAGTCAGAACCTTGCTGTTGTTCACAAAGGGTATTAGTAACTGTACAAATCCGTCCTTGCCGTGTGACGTAAAAAATGCGGATTTCTCCTCCTCAGAAAGCGCCAACAGTAGAACAAGGTAGTCAAGTGCGCTGTCGCGTGTGCAATTGGTAAGCCCCATGTTGTACATGCAAGCAAGCATGACACCATCAGGGTCCTCAACCTGTAATGCGCCAGGAGAGGGTCGCTCAGAAAGGAGTTGAAACAACAACGCTGGAGAACCCCTCACCACTTGCAGTATCGTGCCATTCTTTACAGGAGAACTCCATGTTGCCGTTACAGAAAGTATAACCGCGTCCGCTGGTGACAACGTCTGGACGAACACAGACCACTTTTCCTTTAAGTGACCGCAATTCATGTCCAGTATTCGTCGAAGACGCTTAAAAAGGACAGAACCCATAAAATACTTCTTATTACTGTTCTTCGCAATAGGCACATTCTGTAATGTGGAGCGCTTTGAACTTGTGGTGTAATACCTGGCATAATGCAAAACAACAGCAGCAAATATCTTTAGAAACAGTTTTTGCACCTCCGTGATGGCCTCTCCGCCTTCGGCAGACGGCTCAGTAGGAGCAAATACCGTTGGCGCCGCCGCCTTTAGCACCTCTTCTGCACACTGACGTGCCGTGGCGGAGTGGCTCATTGGAAGCACCGCTGTTTGACGAAGCACATGGCTCCATTCCTCTGGCGACAGGGATGCACGCTTGCAGATAAGAGGCAAAAGCTGCCGCTGAAGACGTCGCTGATACTTGACAGGGAAGCTTGGAATCTTTGCAACGCCTAATACACACTGAATAACGGTGACAACTGACAAGCGCTGAAGCGGTCGTTCCATGAGTTGTTTGATGCTATCCGGTACCTCATTCGCCTCTAAGGCCGTCTCCTGTTGCTCCTTGATAAACTCGGACAGCTTCGCCGCCTCCCTGTCGGAGAGCGGGTTCGCATAGTTGAACAGCACCGACACAGCACGCGGCACAAGAGATGAGGTTCCCTGAAGAGCCACAACAATGGAGGAGAGATCCATTGCGTGTTGCTGCTACGATCCTACAGAATAGAGAAAAGGAACAACAACAACTGCTCGTTATTCTTTAGGTATGCTTTCTCTTTTTCCTTCTTTTTTTTTATTTGTGTATGTATGTGGGTTCTCCCGTCCCCTTCCGTTGTCACTCTCTCGTTTTCGTTTGCTCTCATCATTGCAAATGGAGCGAGGGAGTACAGAGGCGTATGAGCAACCAAGAAGCACCACCAGAAGCAACAAATGAGGAAGCGCAATACGATGCAATTCCCACAGAGCGTAGTCAAAAAAAAAAAAACTGGAGAAGTGTCACACCCTCTTATTTACTTAGCGCATGCTGTGGAGGGTTTTGCTCTTTCCTGCGCTGCTGCTGCGTCGACACCACCACTGGCGTCACCGTGTTTCATTTACTCTGCCACACTCTTACCCTGTCCCTTATTTTCTGTAAGGTTGTCTATGCAGGTTTCATGCATGCCGTCACTGACCACCGTCACCGCCGCTGGTTTCATTGGTTTAGCCCTTACTCCCCTTCAATCTTTATTTCACCGTCCATCAATAGAGTCACCTTCTATCCCTCCCTCCCCAACCTCTCAGGTTAAGTGTAGCAGTCATTTGTAGTTGTTTTTTACTTTTTTCCCCGTTTCCACATGAATATCTATCTATCTATATCTCGCGACATGTATTATGCTGCTTTTAACTTCTGAGGTTTTGCAGCATCGCCGTTTTGAAGGCCTCTCACATAGAAGAGAATTTGCGCAACATGCCAGACCACAGAGATCAGTGTCCCAGCCACAGGCCAGCTTAAAAAGACAAACCAAGCGAAAAAAAGACCCGCAAGCGCGGTTACATCGACGTGAGGCAACCGAAGGCAATGGGAGTAAATGAGAGTGTGAACAATCGTACTAGAGGTGAATGCGACAGTGATGATCCAAAGAGCCACATATGAGAATGGACCCCACACATATCCTGCGGAGCCCACTGTCATTAGGTGTTCCATGTGGTAGGGTATAACACCGATAAGCAGAGCAGCGTTAAAAACCACGGCCAGTGTGGTGATCCGAAAGAGCATTTTCCAGTTGTTGCTAGCAATGCCCACAATGACGTACGCCTGGGAAGCCCAATAAATAATCATTACAGCCTCAATGTAGCGGAGAGACAGCAATGCCTGTGCCCATGCCTCTGGCAACACGGCGTGCAAGAGAGACGGCGACACAGTTACAACGGAAAGACCTGGAAAGGCAATTGGGACCCAATTCGCGACACAAAAAAAAACCATCGCCTCATCTACGGAAATAAAACGATTGCCCCAAATAAAAATGTGTTTCTCGTAGCGTAATGTGTGCGAGAAAACCGTGGCAAGGGCTATAGTCACAACTGTGAGAGCGATGTTCGAGAATGATATCCCAAGCACAGACATACAGACACACGTTGAAAGCAGCGAGGTCACACAATCCAGTCCATGGTCAAGATATTCCCCAATATTGCTTGTTTTCTTCAGTCGACGGGCAAGACGTCCGTCGGTGTTATCAGCAACGCAGTAGATACCGTTCAGGATGCCACACAGAAACAGCATCCAATTGCTAGAAGAAAAAACCGAACTCCAAAGTGGACGCAGCGCTGCCGGATGCAACGGCGTGGGGCCAGGCTCGTTTCGCCACTTTGAGTCCGCTCCAAGCAAAAGGCTTGCGGGACGCAGGGTGGCGTACGGTGGCTCAAACAACGTCGTTTGTGGCATCCCGGTGAGTAGCAGGAACGATGAGAGAAGAGTCATAAGTATACCAAACAGAGTCACCTTATTCGGCGCCCACCATGTGGGGTAATAACACGTAACAAAATCATAAAATGGAGCAAGAACATACTCGGTAAGGTAACTCAGCTGCGGAGGCACCAGCGGAGTCCCATCCTGGGGAGGTAGAGAGAACAGAAAGTCCATTCGCCACAACGTACCCCCACTCCGGTATTTGCCTCTATTGCTGGCTATTCTCGTGACTGGCCTCAGTGGAAACAAACAAACAAAGCAAAAAAAAAAAAACAATACCCGAAACACAGTGCATCGTCTCAAAGGGGAGACGCAGAGGCGTACACAGGCACAGAGGAAAAAAAAAAGCAAAAAAAAAAAAACAAAGAGGAAAAACAAAAGACAACGACCGCCTAAATCCGCGTCATATGCGTTTTCCATTAACCTCCTTACTTTGTGTATAAAACGCGTTAGGAGTCAAAAACGCCACAAAAAGCACTTCAGCATTTTTTGTCCTTTTTTTCTCTCTCTCTCTCTTGTTCTTCTTCTTCGTTTGCGCTTTTGCAGCTAGTGCACCATCATAAGTCCGCGTCCACCAATATTCTCCTTCACCGCCTGTATGTGATCAATAACACGATTGTCCGCGGTGCGGCAGATGTACACCACCAGACGATTATGAATACCGTGTGAGTTAAGTAATCGCCGCATCATTTTGGGGCTCCACTCAAATTCAGTTTTGCCGTCATACGCGCAAGGCTCAATAACATTGATAGTAGAGTCTCCCTGAAAATATTTCAGCTCCACGGCAAAGGCGCGGTCGTTATGGAAATCACGGAAACCAGCTACAAGTCCATGGCCTTGCATCACCCGGGCACAACCACGGGTCTCAACTGTCGAGGGTACAATGACATACCGCTTCCGTTGCTCGGTCGCCTCGCGGATGCGATGGCAAAAATCATAAATTGGGGTAAACACATTGTATGTCCAATAACGTGGCTCACGTTTTTCTATTTGAACGCGATCCTCATCTTGAAGACTAGGGTTGTCGTAGGTGCCGTAGTAAAGTGCGTGATCCCCTTTGTGTTGAAAGAAAAGCCTAGTGATTGGATCGGCGGGCAGGTCACGGCGTCGTTCCACACCTGGAAGGTTGAGAAGCTGGCGCTGCGGTAGCGCCTCTTCCTCATGAGCTGCGTTGCGTTGCAGTCGTGTGCGTAGTGGGAGGCGTTCCTCCTCTAGAATGGCATTGAGTTGCTGGCGTAGCCGCTTTTCGTCATACTTGACGTCGTTAGCAATGGCGAAAAGACTTCCCTGGCGTTCTCGCTTTCCGTGCAGCAATCGATGACGAGATGACTGCTTCTGCCCGGCGCCTCCTACTGGTGCCGCACCATACACCTTCGCTAGAGAAATAAGCGTCTGACGGAACATCAGTGCCACACCGTCTTTGCAAAAGAATTGTATGGTGGCGGGCTCCTCACCACCCTGTCACTTTGCTTACTACCGCCTTACCGCCCCTCTGCGTACAGAGTTGCCAAACTTCAGAGCACACAGGCACACACACAAACACAAAGAGCGAGAGAGGACCAAAATAATAATAATAAACAAATCCGGTTTATAAGTTTGTCTTTAAAAAAAAAACCGCTTTCAAAGCAAATCCAGGCAGCCTAATCTTCACAATCGACGCGTATGGCTCATCTCTCACTCTTTCCGTACCACAGTCAATTATCTTGACTTATCGTCTACTGATTTTGCTTTCCTTTCGAAAACTTAACCAAACACAAACAAACAACACATCAATTGAAGATAATCGCGTTACTCGAGACGGGCTAAATAACCTGTCGATACATCTCGTAGGGGCCACTCTCCTTCGACTCGCGTTGGATCCTTACAATACTGCCACGCACAAGGCCCAGGTATGCCACCATCGGGTCCTCGTTAAGGATGCGCGGTAGCTGCGAGAGAGAAATCTGACGCTGCTGAAGAAACTCCTGCGCCTGTTCAGGGGAAAGCGCTACATGCGATGGAACCGTCTCGTGGCGTGCAATGTTGTACGCAAGCTCATCCTCCTCAAAGAGTTGAATCGACATAATTTCTTCGGCAGTGCCAGCCCGAAGGCGTCCACTCAACTCGCGTGCGCCACGACGCACTACCGGAGTTATCTTCCCGGCGGACACAACAATCATGCAATGCGCCTGCTTCTGTAAGGCTTTGTCACGAAATTCCTGCAATTCACTCATGCTAAGCGACGGCAACGCCGAAAAAAAAACGAGCATTGACTTCCCACCCTTTTCTCCACTTTTGCTGAGCGAGGCAGACTCGTCGTTCGTCGACTTCACCACCTCGGAGCTGCACACAAGCCGCATAGCGCCGCGCATTAGCGTCCAGTTTCTCCTCTCCTCTAAGGCCTTGCTGTGACTTGTTTGCACCCTCGTCGCATTGTCATCCTCTCCTCCTGCCGCCCCGGAGGCAGCGGTAGGTGTGGCCTGCACAACCACAAAGTGCTGCAGGAACCACTCATAGTCCAGACCGTACTCGTCGTTGTAGACAGACGGGTCAAGAAGGGCATGTGCGACGGCAGACGGATGGCGCACTGTGTAGCCACGGTCCATGCACATCTGAATGACGGTGTTGTAGGCACGGTAGAGCCGCACAATTTTAAGCTCTTCAATCGAGCTCATTTTTCCTTAGTACTTCGCTACGACTATTATTATTATTATTATTATTCGGACTATGCGTGCAATAAGTGTGCAAGAGGGAGCGGGTGGTCAGCCTTTGCTCCTGCGCCGAATGCCGCCAACGCCAGGCATAACCAGAACCAAAAAAAAGATTGAATGAATATAACAGAGGGATGAGTACGAGTTGAAAATGCATGAGTACGCATCATAGAGGTCATATAAAACACAGCAACATCCAAAAGAAACACGCATAGGCGGGCCACAAATTTTCCACCCATCAGCAGCCTTACAAACCACACACGTAGATAATCACACCGACGCCGCCACTGACTTATCCTGTGCACAGCAGACAAGGAAACAAAAGCATCAACAAAAAAGAATGCCTCTACACCACTTGTCGGTACGTCACATAAAAGCCGGCTGACATGCTCTTGCGCTCGATCCGCACAACACGACCGCGTTCCAGTCCCAAATATGCAGCAACAGGATCAGTAGAGAGAATTCGAGGCAGCATACCTAGCTCCAATGCATGGGCCTGTAGCATCTCTTTTACCTCCTCATCCTCAAGCTGCGTGTGCTTTGGAACCAGCTCATGATGTGTGATGTTCACCACGAGGTCATCCTCGTCAAACAGCTGGACCTTCAAGCCCAGGCTGCTTCGATTAAGATCATCAACGTGCCGCTTAACTGTAGCATTTACCTTTCCATGTGTCACAATAATAACACGGTCACAGTTGGTTTCCGTCGCCTGCGTGTGGTACCGCTTCATAGTTTCCATTGAGAGCCCTTCCGAAAAAAACACCATGGCGCGGCTACGCTGCGACACCCCGATGCGTTCGCACGGAACCGTCATGCGGTCGCGGTAAATAACCCCATCTCGTATATCCGCATACCAATCCTTGAACTCCTCCACGGAGCTCGGGATGATCTTGTCAGCTACCTGGTACTTCCTGTCACGCATCATCTCCCCCACTGTCCGCATGACACGGAACATCTTGTCGTACAAGAGCGCCTCCTGCCCAATCGGGTTGCTCTCATCGCCCATCACTGCTGCACCTCCCTTCCAAAGCGGACGAGTTGCACCGCCTTTCGGTTTCTTCTTGTTGCTCCCCGCGCCCCAGTAGAGGAAAAAAAAGGAGGGGTTTGCACAGCAAAGCACCATCACCGGTGGTGGCATTAAGAGCAAAATAAAAAAGACGGGGAAAAAGGCAAAAAAAAAGTTCGACTCGCATGTATAATGGGAAAGTGTAGAAGCTATATATATATATGTCAAACATGTCAAAAGTAAAAAAAAAAAGAAGAGAAGAAAAAAATATATAACAAATACCACAGGGAAACAAAAGGGATAAACGAGAGGAAACTATCGCCTTCATTGGACATCACTGCATCCCACATCAAATACTGCACCGCACTGCCTCCATATTGTGGCATGTGCGCCTCTCAAAGGAATATTATAGTAAGAAGAAGTGATGCAGTTCAACAGGATTACGCAGTTCTGCAGACAAATTCCATTCTTCCACTTCCACCTTCATAGGGAAAATTTACCACCTCGTTTTTTTCTTTTTTTTTGTTTATCACTTGAATTTAATTTCATTCGACCTTTTGGTTGCCCCTCCCCCCTCCTCCTCCCCACTCACCCACTCGACAGATTCAGTCATATCAACTTCAACCCCCCCAAAAAAAGGCAGTGGAGCGTTAAATCTGATTGTGCTTCTTCTGCATGATACTCACTGCAAATCGTAGCGCGCAGATGCATGAGGATAAGGGGTGGGCACATACACAGAGGAAAAGGAAAGAAAAAAAAACATACAAATCTACACGCAGCTATACTGCTGCGCGGAAGTATGAGAGAAAGAGAAGAAAAAAAAAAAATCGCATTTCGTTATTTCATTCTCGCGCTCTGTCATTCGCCTGTCCGTGGTTGGGATCCACCTCTGTACTATCCCCCCATCCTTGGGATGTTCCAGACACACGGGCGACGCCATCTCATCCAATCGGACAGCGCCGTGAAGGAAATATGGGAGCATAAACAATGCGAATGAGATTACCATTTTGATTGTTTGTCCAAATATTGTTCTTCTTGCTAAAGATGCCGTCTACTGCGCCTAGGGGGAATGCCATCGCTGTGTTCTCCCACTGTGCTTCTGTCTCTCGTGCTTTGGCGACGTCCGCAACGTTGTCCATGGCGCAGGCGTCACTTCTCCCATGCATTGAAGTTTATTGGTGGGAGCATCTAACTGTTGCCCTCTCGCCGATGCAAACTCACCGCGCCCCAGAGGCGTAGCGAAGACCATGAGAACCACTCCTCGCACCTTCAAACATGGGGGCAATTCTAGGCTCTGAAGGAGATGTGCTCCTCGACGAGCTTGCTTCACTCCCAATTACGCCCCTCCAACTTCGCCGAAGACGGACTTCTGTAGAAGACATACTGCCCTTCTTTTGAAACCGCATACAAAAATGTGTTCCGCCCACGGACGCCAGCACCCTTCGTAGGTCTTTCAACTTTCGCACTTGAATTCCCTCTATTTCCTGCAGCTGGTCACCGCGCTCGATCCCAGCTGCTGCCGCCTCTCCATGCACCTCAATAACCGTCAGAAACGACGAAAAATAAATCCCCAAGGAAAAACGCTCGGTCATCGCAAAATCAGACGCACCATTGACCTCCATATCAGGAGATGACCCACAAGAACGAGATTGGTCACTGCCCATCACACCAAAACTAAGACGTGGAGTACCGCACTCAACACCGTGCGTGGGGGAAGGCTTTAGCTCATTGTCAGAAGAGGAGTGAAGCGGCAATTGCTGAATTTGGTTGCCTTCAGCTATCATCGTAAGCCCAGGCACGTAAGGTTTGCGGGTCCCAGAAACTCCTTCCTTCGTGTATTGCTGCAATGAGGACGTGACTGCTACTCCAGGTGAAATGACGTGCTTGGTCTCTCGAGCCAAAGCACTTCCATTCGCAGTCCGTGCAATGGCCTCCATTGTTTTAACAATGAATCCTGCTTTGTTACCACGCTCTGCCTCCGTTTTAGGTGACAAAGCACGCTTTGAAGTCAACACCCCATCTGGATTCTTTCTCTGAAATAATAAATTAAGCGGCTTTCGCCCATTCAGGTTTTTCGCCTGGCTCCCATTCACTGGCACTCCCTGCACAGCCAGCGGCGCATGTGGCGCTTTACGTATTTGCGCAATGTGCTGCCACTTGGCAAAAAAATGAAGAAGTACAAACCGTTCGACCGGTTGTAGCATCAATACCGCGTTAGCACTTCGAGCAGCGGCGTTCTTCATTGTGGAAGATAACTGCGTCATGATAAATTGAAAGGAATCACTCAGGTAAGGTGTATGGTTCTGAGGTCGCCCAAGAGAGCGCTCTGTAATAACCCGCGTTAATGGCACAGACTCCTGGGACTGTGGAGAAAATTCTCGTTTCTCGGCACCCACTGCTGGCACCTGCTTCTTCTTCATTACAGTCTTCCAAGCAGGCTGCTCCTGTGAAGGACCTTCTAAACCCAATCCTACACCCTTCTTTCCCATAGCATTCCCTGAACCAGTACCCGTCGTGGGTCTTAGATCGCGCACGACACGTGGCATAGCGGGGCTCCGTTTACTGCCACGTGCAGAAGAAGCAACACCCAGTGAATCCGCGGCTGCTATTGACTGGACAGATACATTGGTGGGAGAACTCCGTAAAAGCGGAACTGTACCTCCGCATGATTCAGACGGCGAGTTTCGCTGCCCCAATGCCTGCGCACCCACTCCAAGATTCCTCTCAGCACTTTTCTCCCCCATAGGCAGCTGCAAACCAGCAATGTCTTCTGCACGGGTGATGCTGATCCCTTGGGGCGCTTGGCTCTCCAAGGATGGGGCTGTGCCACGCACATTGCGCTCCACAGCGTCCTCCTTGAAACTGCAAGCATCATCGTCTGATGCGGACCGCGGAATTACAACCTCCGTTGAGAAAGGAAGTACATCGTTGGCGCCCAAGGTCGCGAGATGTGGGTTCGCCCGCTGGATGGCCTCGATAGGTAAATCATGTACAAGCGCCAGATGAGCCAATGTATCGGGCTCATTGTCGGGAGTAGCTGAGTTTTCCAGCGACAAACTATTCGATGAACACAAAGGATGCTTCAGCAATGCAGTGGAAATTAGGCATTTTTCACCTGCAATTCCACGCACAGTCCCACCTGTGCGTTCATTGAGAATACACCTTGTGATTATACCTGTTACACCACCTGTTGAAGAGGCCTGGCATCGCACATCAGGCGACCCGATGCTTCCCAGCTCGCTGCCATCTCCAGTCACGCTATCACCGTTGCGTGAAGGAGACGCGTCGATGGCCTCAATGCAACGATGATAAAGACTGCGGACCTTCGGAAAGTCAAAAACACTTAGAAGCGCGTTAATCGCTGACTCCTCTAAGTAACGATCATGCATAAGCTCAAAGGTGGCATGAAGACTACCCAGTTCAAACTTCAGTGCCTGCACATTCTCTTCGGGAAGGTCAAACAAAGCGGCTAGTTCTAATGTAAAAGTACAACGCAGCTGCTCTTCTTCCTTTGCTAGAACAATATCCCATCGCTCTCCGCTAATGCACTTTTCATGAGAGGTGTGAAACCACTGCACGGTTGCTTCCAATGTCTTTTTAGGACCCAAGGCAGTCCCCGGTTCCAAATTATCCGTCAACTTTGGGTTTGGTAAGAAATTAAAATTACGGAATGTATCTCCGTCTTGGTGCTCCGCAGCGCAGATCTCGCCGCCAGTCCTCACAGGCGATGGCGTCGTCGTAGACCACACCAGTGAAGATACTCCCGTCTTTCTCCGCTCCGGCGTTGCTGCAGAGATGGGGTCTGAACGTGGAAGTGTGGCGGTCCGCGGGGACAAAGGCGGTAACTCACACGGCAGACCTGCGTCAAGATGCTTACAAGGAACATCTTTCCCTGATACGTCACTAGCCTCACATGGAGGCTTATTTTCTTCTATTTGCTTGCGGTGCAGTTGCGACTCCGCATGAGACGGTTTTGCTGCGCCGTGCCGCTGCTCTAGAGGCAATGGTTGACCTTGTGGTAACGCACGCATGGCTATTTTGCGCCCATACCTTTCCTGAATGACCAGGGAATCTCGTGACAGTGTCTCAGTGACCATCAAAGCGGTGATGGCTTCCCGCAAGATTCCGTTGTTGCTGCAACTAGGTAAACTATCGACATCAGTGATTCCACCACGATTACCACCACTATCTGTATCACTATTTGGGGCGGCAGTATCTGCAGAGTCGGAGAGAGACCTGGATCCAGAGCTGTCCAAGCTTGCCAACGAAGTGCTGGAGTTCGCGCCATTTTCTACTATTTTCCTTGCCTCCTCCTCCTCGCATTCCTCCTTCTCCTTTTGGAGCTCTTCGTAGAGAAGCAGCATGCTCATAAATTCGTGTTGTTGAATCCTTTTACGGACTTCATCTTCCTCAAGCGATAACGGAAGGCGCACCTTGAACGCCACCTCCTGATCTCCACCAGTCAGCAATGTCAACCTATCGTTCACTAACTGAACATCGGACACCCACTGATGTGGGATTCCAAACAGTGCCCCTACTTCTTGTATAAAAAGATCTTTCCACCTTGGGGGGGAAACCGCATCTTCCTTGCGCAAAAGTTCGCGCCAGAGTTCTCCCTGGAATATTCGGCTGTGTGCAACTACACAAGTTGGCACCAGTGCATTGGAATCTCCTTTTCCAGTAGGAATACGCACAGTCGTGTTAAACGGTAATGGTTTATGTTTATAGGCAAGTAAGTGGGCATTAATGATGCACAGTTCTTCCAATGAGACATGGTGGGCCAATGCCATTGATTCCAGGGAATCCGCATGCTTCGCTGCTACTTCCTTGAACTTTCGGGACATGGATGATGCACGTGTCTCGTTGCACCGCTTTAATAACGACGACTGCACCGTCGTACCGACATGCCTGGATGAAAAAGTAGCGGAGTGGCAAGAGGTGGAGGAGAGAGCGTTGTTTATTGAGGACTTTTGAAGATTTTCAATAGTGTTAGATCCTTCCTTCTCTTCTTGAAGAAGTAAGGCCTGTTTTTGCTCACAACATCTGTTGGCTATTGTACTTTCCTCGTCGTTCTTTTGGTCTTCTACCTCGTTATTTTTTCCCCCCGCGAGGTGCAATGGGGTGCCTTCCACGTCCTGTTGAGTGTCATCTGTTTCTCCGTTGTGCTGTCTTTTTACAATTGATGTGAGCTTTGATGGGGTGTCTCTATGCACCTCATCCACAACCACCATGCTCGTCGCTGCGTGAACAAATTTCTTCGCTCCCATGTCTAAAGGCCTGGAAGACCAGTGCGGGTTAAGTACAACATACCGTGAACGGGCGGTGTTGCGTTCAGCCTCAATCTGTAATGGGGCTCCCTCAATCGTTGCCCCTAAAGAGAGGAGAACGCCTAGCAGCTCGGTCGCAGCCACGGAGGCGCGCTCTGTGAGAAGGTACCGTCCAGTAGAGGCCTCACTTAGCAGACGAACATTCCGTAGGCTGCCGAAGGTGGAAAACACACGTTGTATTCGTTCCTGCAAAAGCCGAGATTTTTCAACAAACATGGAGAGGTCAATTATTTTAGGAAGGACAGAGGGATCGCAACCGGTAACGCCGCTTGCACTGGGGGAAGGGAATCCAGCCCTGAGCTTGTCTCGCAGTATCGCAGCGTGCTCGCGTGCCAGACGGCTGTTCTGCAAAAGTGTTTCCTCTAATGAGGCGAGTTTTGTCGAAGCAGAGGATTGAATAGGGTGCAGCATCCCTTGCGCCACAGCTTGAAGATCCGAGATAGCAAGGACTTCCGTGAGGGCACCCACCACCTTCCGACACACCTCCTCTTCCTTCGACGGTGAAGTCATTTTTGGGGTGTGAAAAAGCTGCACAACCCCCTTTTCCCCTTTCTCTCTATTTATGTCTCTCTCTCTTTATACCTCGTATTTCTTACTTCTCTCCGCAGATCTATACCCAGATGTACAGGAAGACTACCACCACCGCTGGAGACAACAAAAGACGGAAGGAACATAAACGGAATGTGGCGTGAGGAAGGAGTACGTAAGACGGCAGAGAAGAAGGTAAAGTGAAGATGTGTCGGAGCGTGTCCCTTCCCCTGCACATTCGTTGGAATACAAATAATAATAATAATAATAAACAAGGGAGAAAGAGAGAGTAGATGGACATGAGACGAGGTGTGGCTTCCACCTGCTTCACAAAACTATCTCTCCCCAGAACTGTTATTCCTGCTGCGTCGCCTCGGCAGTGACCCGCAGCTGACTCCATGAAACAACCCCCAACTCCACCTGTTTGCGCTCCACCAACGCCATCACATCCTCTGCAGTCACGCTGGCGTCGTCTTTGTACCGCTGACGCTCCGCCTCAAGTTCGCCACTTTTCTTCTTGTGTTTCAGACTCGACCGATGCAACTCTGCCGTTCGACTATCGCTGCAATACACATTGCAGAAGGGACAGTAGAACGCACCCGCAGAACGACCACCCGACTGCATGTGAAGTGTGACGTCCTGTGCCAACAAGACTGACAACACAGCAGCAGCAGTGAGGATACTGGTAGTAACAGTAGCAGTGGTAGAGGCGGCTATTTGATTTCCACTTTGTGATAAAATCTCTCTCTTCTTACTAACGCAAAAAAAAGTAATGATAAATCACGCCGCTGTCAATAAAAAAAACAACAACAACAAAACAATGACAAAAAAATATATGCAGAGGGAGCACAGTCCCGCCCTCACACTTCCGGTATAGGCGCATGTATTTAAAATCGGCTGCCAAGGAAGGTGAAAGCACACTCGCATAGCATGGTCGTCACAGCACGAACAACAGCCAGCACAAAAGCGGCCACGCCCACCTTCGCTGCAAGAAACAGAGGAAACAACTGTAAAAGGGGGGGGGGAACATAAACATCAAAAAAAAAAAATCATTGATCTCTTCCTTAAATTACTGTTTCCGACATTTTTGTATGCTCTTTTTCTTCCAAGAAATTTAACTCTTGTCGTAGAAAATACTTCACAGTAGCGCTTGAAAGCATAACTTTAGAGAAGAGCCAAACAAGAAAGTCTACGCGTGAAGATGCATTGCCCCAGCGTCAAACCCGCATCTTCACCACCAATAAGCCAAAATCCTTATACAAACTACCCACATCTCATCCCAGTGACCATCAGCGCTGAAAAGTTTGTTTCCCTCGTAATAATTTATCGCCGCGGTACGCGTACGGACTTTGGCGCAAATGTGACGTCAAGGCGCTCGCAGGGACATCATCACAACATCTTGCGACGATGGGATGTAGACCTAAATAACAATGGGGTGAATGATGCATCCCGTTAGCGTGTTTATCTCCTGCCAAATGAGGGGTAAAACGCGCAACTCTTTCACGTGCAGAACCGTCACTATTATTGATATTAGACTGTGAATGTTTCCATGGTCGTGTCACAGCGGTATAAAAAGGTTGAGGATTCTTCAAGGAGAATAATCCACCTCCAGCTACGGGTGTCACCTGCTGTGGATCTATAAAGCAGGAAGCTGCAGTAGGCAGTAGAAGACACTCATTCACCGTGGAGGGGGTTGGTGGTAAATCCATAGACGTGTATCCATTATGAGCAGTACGAGTCTCCACAAGGCCTGTCCTTTTCTCAGCGTCCATGTGGAAGAAATTCAGAGGAGGAACAGCCGATGGAGTCACCTGCTCCGCAGGACAGCTCACATCATGATACGATGCTTGACTGCGTCGTGCATCGTCCCACCAACGAGTTTCATGTGTATCGCACCTTTCCTCAGCATTCAACCGTAACTTAGAGCGCTGAGATACCTGAGCCTTAGGAGAAGTTTTCCCCTTTTTTTTGTCCCCTCCATAGTGCAGTGATGTAAGTAGATGTCCTTGTTCTTGGTCACAGCTGTGATGATAATGAAAATGGTGCACCACACCGCGATGGGCGTCCCCTATCGTCGGGGAAGATGCTATCGCCAGTGCCTCCAAGACAGTAGGAGTCGCCAAACCAACGCTCTGACCTCCCTGCTTGGGAGTTTCCTCCGCCTTTTCAGAGTTCGTCTCAGAGCTGGTACTAACCCGTGCTGAGGTTAAGGGTTCTGCTGTTCTAAGGGGCTCTGCATGCGTCGCGGCTGAATGACCACTGACGCGTATCCTTCCCTCCTCAAGAGGAGCCTCTTGAGGCCGTGACAAGATCTCCGTCCCGCACTTTGTGTCACTAACTGTAGAAAAAGGTTGTATTTTAGGGCGTAAAGCCGCCGTATCAGACCTTGGCAATGATTCTGCTCGCTTCAGCGGCTGACTTTCACCCGATATGGTGTTATTATTCATCGCCTGCGGAGATTCCTCCAGAACCTTACTACTCACCACAAGGAAGTGGGACTGCATCCAGTAGTAGCAATCACACAAAACTCTTGCCACTTGTTGGGTGAGGTTAAGAGCCTCTATGGCTTCCTTCAACTCTGCCGCAGAGTGCTCACGTAGGTAAGTCTGGCATACCTCTGCTAAGGAGCTTGGAACGGATAACGGAGGCATCGCAAATATGAGACGCAGACTTCCACCAAACGTGCCTGTGCCAATGTTGTATAAATGACTCACTTGTCGTAAAGTGGCACACAACGCCGTCACTGCCTTTACATACGGATCTGTTGCTGCCGCCATATTCGCACTACGGGAAATAATAATCCTCTGAACACACACCATGGCGTCCTCCACAGACATCAAGTTCATCTCCGTAGCCGCCTCTTTCTCGGAAGACGGTGGCAGTGGTGGCGGCGGCGCAATTGTGGTTAGAGTAGAGGGAAGTGCTTCCATCTGTTGTTCCAAACTCTGTAGCCGTTCTACCCATGTAATTAACTCCCTTTTTTCTGCTTTAGATGCATCAAGGCGTTTCTCCGCAGCACGCGACTTGCGGGCCACGATAGAGACTGCCTCTTGAGCATCGACCATGCTCTCTTGCAGAGTTGTGATACGACCCTCCGTCTTTTTGCACCATTCTGCCTGAGTAGTCAATTCGTCTTGCGACTTCCTTCGAAGCAATTCCACCTCCAAGTAGAGACGATTGACGGCGGCTGACAAGGTTTCCAACCGCACCTCCACCTTGTCGTTACACACAGCCCCACCCACCCCAGTTTCCCGGTCAGCGATTTCAGCACTCGGCAGCGGTGCCACAGATGTATCAGGCATACGCTCAACAGCCCGCACCACCTCCCCACAGAGTTTTAGCAACTCCCTACGAATTTCGCTGCATGAATTGGCGTCTTCTCTCCCAACTGCAGTAAGTTTTTGATGTTCTTGAAGCATTTTGGCTTCGGTCTGCCGGTCCATGGCAGTGAGTCGTGTCCATTGTTCCTCCTGGTCCGCTACACGCTTCCACAAACGTTCCTCGTTGGACGCGCGCTGTCGTTGCTCCTCTGCAAGACACTCCTGCAGTTGACAGTAAAAGGCCTCATCGTGTGCGCCGGCAATGGCACTCACAGCTTCGCGTACCGTTAAAAGTAGTGCTGATGGCAGTAATTGAGACGGTGGCACATTTGTTGCACCCATCGTATCGACTTGCTGAATCTGTACAGCCAACTGTCGCGAGACCTCCTCTACCACCTGCCGCATAAAGCCAGGGGCCTTCAACACTGAGCTCGCCACCACAGCTATTTCACGCTCACTCCTGTCATTCAGTGTTTGGCTTGTGGATAAGAGCATGTCCAAGTCCTCGTCCAACGCGTCACTCAGATCTCGTTCCGCTGGCCGATTTTGGTCCTGATTCCTGCCGCGCCTATTGCTGCCCCTCTGCGGTGAGAAAAATTCAGAAGGACTCTGGGTTGGTTCAATGGGAGACAGTCCCCCCGGAAGTTCAGTACGCGATGGAAAAGACACATCGAACTCATCCAGTCGCTCCCGTTGACGCTGCCTTGCAGTGTCTCTCCTGCGCTGTGTTGCAGTCTGTTGCGTGTCGTACTTGTTCCTACGGGTGGAGGATGCAGCAGAAGCCAAACCAAGTTCCCTCTGATGCAGCGCATTCGCCAAACTACATGACATGGAGAAAAAAAAAAGGAGCGCCGCGTGCTCTCCTCCAGAGCAATTTCCATCCTGCTGTTACACTCCTCCTGGGCAACCCGGTAGCTCTCCCAACGCGCATCGACGTTGGCAATATAACGAGTCAGCAACCGGCCATTTTTTACCGACCGTCTCCCACCCCTCAATCTATCCGTCCCGTCGCTGGGGGGCTCCAGCCCAAAGTTTTCTCCGCCCTGAGAACGAGCATCAGCCATCATCGCACCTTTTTTGCAAACCAATGGAGTGTCATCATCACTTTCAGACGACACTGATGTCTCCAGGGCGTCACCTTCGTCATTGTGGTAGTCCACAGTACCAACCTCATTGCTCTCCTCGAAGAGACGCATTGGGGTTGTCAAAAGTATTCCATCCACTGAATCCGTTTCCCTCATTCTCGCTGCCGTCGTTATCTCAGTGGAACCTCGATTTGCCGACGACTTTGCCCTTCGCTCTGACAACAGCTGTTCCCCAGAAGAACAGTGTCCGTGTTGCCGCAAATTGGTCATCCAAGCCTTTTCCCGCTGGTGACTGTACTTCATCCCAATCTTATCCCGTAAATCGCACAGCATCTCCCACATGTATTGCACCACCCATGGGTTTACGTACTGGACACGAGACTCCAGTTCATGCATACGCGTCTCAAGCCGCTTGAGACCTCGATGCACAACATCCACTTCCTTCACAGTGGCCTTTGTTGTTTCCTTCCTGTGCTGCACAACACACGCACGGCTACGGGAGGTAAGCGTGGTGCCTGCCATCGTTGCATAAGACGTCCCTACTGCCGAAGGGGAAGGTGCCGCAACCACCAGGTCACTTGCATTGAATGAGGTGTTCATGTCTCTAGTAAAAGAACAAAAAAAAAACAATGAAAGAATGCAAAAACTACCACACCCACTCAGCGTGGGAGTACGCGTGCGGGTGTGTGGGACAAGGGCGCGAGCGAACACGCAGAAACCCTAACGGTTTTCTATGCACCTCCGAGAATAATAATAATAAAAAAAAAGCGTAAATACAAGAGGAAAAAAAAAGATAAAGGTTTAGAATAACATACACTACATGAACACCTCTCTGCAAAGCAAATGGCCGCACATGTGACTGCAGATCTCGAAGACACTTCCACACCACATGGAAAAGCAAACACTCCACCCCTTCCTTAGTTAAAATACAAAAAGGTATCTGTTTTTCCAAACTAAATTCCCGCACCTTCCCTTCTTGTCGTTATTTATTAAAAAAACATAGACAATGCTCACAAGGACAAGAAGACGCCAAAAAAAAAACTATATATATATTATATACAATGGCATGCGCCCAATTGAGGCCTCACACCGTGCTCCTATTACAGGAAAATACAACAAAGAAATCCACAGTTTGGTTTAATGCATCCGCAACCCTACACTCATGCATAGCTGTATTTCACACCCATACACCACTACACCAACTTTCTCATAACCCAATCCACACTAACTGGGGTCTCGTTGTGAACTCATAAAGCGGCAACCTTTAGGGCCCCGCAATCACACGAGCCGTCCCTCCATCCCCCTCCCAAGTTGAGCCCCTTCGCCAGTCCACCAAAACCGAAAGCTCTACCACGCAACGGCCCATCCGCGGGGTTGCCCTGTGGCAGCACGCACAAAATAAGCGCATCCACACTGTCGGTGCCAACAAGATACAATGCCCCGCCCAATTCCCGCGTCAAGGTGCACGGTCTCGCAACACCCCCACTCTTCAAAGGCGTCACCCCGCAATGCGGCATTATCTGTGCAGACACCAAAGCGTTGAGGCAAGCGCTCGGCGAATGCCAACAAGGCAAAAAAAAAAAAAAACATTCTGTGCTGCTGCCCACATGAAGTAATGGCCTGGAAAACGCCGCAACAGCCTCGTGGCCACCATGACGTCCCCCACGGCCGCCAGACGTGACGCACTCTCCAAGCGTGTGAAGCCGCACCCGCGGCGAGGCAAGCCGCCTGAGATCCGTCACAGATGTTGTCCATCCAACCGCCCATACCATGTCCAAGAGAAGGTGAGAGAAGACGACTGGGACCGCGGCCAGTGTGGAGCACTCAAATACCGCTACGTTACCACAGCCTGCAGAGTCGTGCCACGGTTTCCAGCCGCCACCACAAAAGGTGCGACAGACCCTGTCGATTCACGAGACGCGGAAGAAGCGTCAGCTATCCTTTAATAAACACAAGACCAAAATAAAAATAAAAACGCGGCATGCGCCGCCCCCAACGCGTGGCCGTAGGAAACAAATCAACTAATAGACAAACAAATCGATTTACATGAACACACAACCCACTCATTCGCTTGACCTCACCTAGATGCATACTCCCCTCCACAAGCGCATGGAATGTGCACCTGGATGAGGCATTACCCTTTCTGGCTAAAAAAAAAAAAGGAAACAGCTCTGCCCATTATGCCACACGACCTCCACTAACGAAGTGAGTTATCCAGCACTCACAAACACACACACATGCACAAACAGACAAAGTCATTCACACAAGGATCTCTAATAAGCAGGGTCTCGCGATAAATTTAAGAGGTAACAGTTTTTACGACCCCATCCCATACACCGGGCCTCCCCGCGTGGAGGCTATTAGGGTTGAGGTGCGAGGCCAATAAACAACTGCACTCGTTACCTTTCATTGCACCCATGAAACAGACTAAGTAATAAGTAAAAAATAATGCAAAAATAAACGGCCCGCTTGCTAACAGAATGCAAAAAATAACAATAATAATAAATCACACAATAACAAACAAATTTTACCTAAAAGTATGGGTAATGAGACAGCGCCCAAACAAAAAAAAAAACGTTTTAAAAGAATGAGTGAAAATCCCCTACAAAGTTATATCAACTTACTCCCAGTTATTGTCGGCGTCGCCTACTCGTTTTCATAAATTACCCCTTATCTTATCGTTTTACGACGCCTACATCGCCTCACGGTATATATTCATCACATCTTCTTTGCTACCCTGTCGCGGGTTGGTAACGGCGCAAGCATCTTGCAAGGCTGCAGTGGCCAGTGCAGGAATATCTTCCTCACGCATACCAAGTTCCTTAAACCCCAGCGGAATGTTCACTTCCTTTGATAGATGACGAATCGCATTAACAGCTGCAGCCGCAGCCTCCTTATCGTCCATGCCTGTCGTAATTGCACCCAATTGGCCTGCAACATCACGAAGACGGTGTGCACAGACGTCAGAGTTATACTGCTGCACGTGTGGAAGCAGGATTGCATTACAAACACCATGGGGAAGGTCGTAAAAGCCACCGAGCTGGTGCGCCATGGCGTGCACGTAGCCGAGACTGGCGCTGTTGAAAGCCATTCCTGCAATGAATTCAGCATAACACATACCCTCCCGCGCCACAAGATCCTTGCCATTCCTCACTGCATTAGCGAGGTGCTGCTTGACAAGTTTCATGGCCTGCAGTGCGCAAGCATCCGTAATAGGGGATGCGGCCAGTGACACATAGGCCTCAATCGCATGCGTGAGAGCATCCATGCCCGTGGCAGCAGTAAGAGCAGGCGGCTGTCCCACCATCAGTAGAGCATCATTTACGGCAATGAGCGGAGTTATTCTCTCTGTCACAATCACCATCTTTACGTGCCGCTTTTCGTCTGTGATAACCGCAAAGCGTGTCATTTCGCTGGCTGTGCCAGATGTTGTGTTGATGGCGACAAGTGGAAACTGATCCTTTTCTGCCTTATTCAGGCCCTCGTAATCAAAAATGGAGCCACCATTGGTTTTAACGAGAGCAACTCCCTTTGCGCAATCCTGTGGTGATCCTCCGCCCAGAGAAATAACAGAATCACACGAGTTCCTGTTCAACAGCTCCAAGCCGGTCTCCACGTTGTGAGCAGTCGGGTTAGGGTGCACATCCTTAAATATGACGGGCTTCATTTGGCACTTCTTCTCAAGTGTCTCCACAACAGTGCCAAGAATGCCCGCCTTTTCGACGCCAACGTCACACACCAGTAAGGGCTTCTTGAAGCCCAGATTCAGCATTTTGCCAGCGGCCTCGTCGAGCGCCCCAACACCAAGATAGCTTAGTGTTGGCATAAAAAAGGCGGAGGCGGCGGCAGTTAGGCGCGTGGAACGAAACATGATTGCTGCTTCTTTTCTTTACTATGAAAACAGTAAAAAGTTTTAAAAAATATGGATCACCTTTTTATTTATTTTGGTTTACTGTCCTTCTCGTTTGCGTGATGCTTTGGCTAATAGAATTCGCTTCCTCCTCAAGTGAAAAAATGTCGTGAGACAGAGAAGGAGATATAATGATGCCACCGGCGAGAAGGAGTATATTACGCGCGCCTTCAATCCCTCGCTCTTTCCTTCACTTTTCCTTTCCTCTTTTGTTGATGCCTCCTATCCTGTACGTCTGGGACACGGCAAAGCGGCGGGAACGTGAAGCCGTCTGCTACAAACCCCCGCCGGAGGGAAACGCCCCAGGATAAAATGGGGCAGTTGGCCCCGCCAGAAAAGCAAATAAATGAGGGTAAACAAAGAGGAAACGACGGCGGCAGCGGTGTACGTGCCCCTCATCATCCCTCCGAGAAGTCTAGAGCAACGCAAATGGAGGCGAGGCCTGCATGCCAAAAATGAAATAAGGTGCCCCAGTCGCTGCTGCTGCTGCTGACGGGGAGAGCGTCCAGAAACTCCTCAGAAACGTCATCCACGTCTGGCGCTGATCACAGGCAGAGGAGGTCACTCGTCAGCCCAACGGGAACTACTCAACACCGTCCTTTTCATAGCTCCTGTAGATCGATGATTGGAACTCGGTTAATTCGAAGCCTCCAAAAAAATACAAAAATAGACACATAGTTTGAAAAAAAAAAAAATCACCACGCAAAATAAACGAGAGGGACACAATAATGGAGAGATGACAGTAATATTCAAGAGCGACAGAGAATTACGATGCAATCTGTCATTTGAGGGAGGACACAGAGACACACACCCCATCCGTAAAAGCAGGTTGTTCCTTGGACTCTTGCAATGTGTGGTGCTCCCTTCTAAAATTTGAATTCCGCTAGAATATGTGTGCAACGTCAATTTCCCCCCTTAACCTCATCCTCCAACTTGAGTAATAGTCTTAAAATTCACCTGCCTAGTTTCTTTTCCCATCTCACCTTACCCCACCCCACCCCGCCTCGCGCTTCCTCGACACGGGACGTCGCAGCATAGAACAGCCTTTGCTAGCGTTTTTTTTCCCCCCTCTGCTTTGTCCCTGTTGCTTCTTCTAGTTCTCACCACGGTGCACAGGCAAGGAAGAGAGAGAGAGAAAGCAGGAGCTCCATAATGGCACCAAAAAACGAGGAGTGGCGGGAATAGGGAAAAATAGGTAAAAACAAAACAAAAAAAAAGCATTCTTTTTTTTTGTGTGTGTGTTGTCGTTTTGTTTTGTTTGTTGGTACGAGGAAATTTCACCGCCCACCCACCGTTGTTGTCGCTACTGCACCAAATACGACTCGCCGTCTCTATCGGCGCCACACCGATAGCCGTCAGCGACGCCAAGCCCCACGGAAAGCCTCAAAGTGAAGCAACGCTTTGCATCGTAAACGCCTTCTTTTTTTGTTTTTCACGTTCATCTTCTGCCAATCATTTATCGCCTCTATTTTTGAGTCTTAGCTTACCATTTTCATTCCCTCTCTACTTGTTGCTGCGAAAACGTCCTGCATCACTCGCACCAACTATATGGCAGGAGCGTTAAGGAAAGCTCTTTGTTTTTTTTCTTTTTGTCTCTCCCTCTTTTTTTCCCTCCATATTCTTTCAATCCCTAAAAATCTGTGAAGAAAGAGGGACCGGCGAAGGAATGTGGCGCGGCAATATTAGCGAGAGAGACGCCGCCATAGGTGTCGTGTTAGTGTTTTCTTCTTCAGCTGTAGCTCTGGGTTTGTCTGAGTTTTCCTTCATTTTGCTCCTCCGGCACCCTATTCGGTTCCCCCTTTGTTGGCGCACGTGGTCCCCCTTGTTATACTCTGCCTTGATTAAATATAAATGGAAAAGTGTGCGGGCGTGCCTCCAGCCCAATCATCGCACGTAGATAGCAATAACTCCCCTTCTGGGTGATCAGGAGTTTTTATTATTATTTTTTTTTTGCTTTGCGTTGCTATTTGTTTGCTTCATGTTTTCTTTCCTCATTTGATTTCAGTGGACGGCGAGGTTTTCCCGCGGATTATCGTCGTCGTCGCCGTCTTTGGCAGCAACAGTGGCTTAAGAGACACATGCTATCGACCACCCTAGCGGTCAACACGAGATCACCATCGTTTGCCACCGCATCTTCTTCGCCCTCCACTACGACACCACACCCATTACTTCTTCTTTCCCTTGCCCGTCACTGCCTTCGTCTGCTTGACACCCTCAATGCTCACTTTAGGATCAAGTGCTAGGCACTCCGTCACGGCACCCCAGCCGACTGTGATCTTCCCCTCGCGGATGGTGAACTTAAGTCCCTTTTCCATCGGCATTGGATAGGCAAGGGTGAGCACAAGCTCACGATTATCACCAGGCATGCAGACAAGCGTCTTTTCAAACTCCCTGAGTTCAGCCTCTTTCTTCTTTTGTTCCTCCGCGTCACGGCCGTACTTTTTGTTTAGCTCACCCGCAAGCTTCTCGCTTTCCGGGAAGTTGATATCTGCCGTGACATCCGCGCAGTGGAAAAAGAGCTGCGGGCGATAGTGGGGACTAAAGGCCGTGTGACGGCCACCTTCTTCTTTTGTCAGCACGTAAACCTGCGCACGAACCTTGTTAAACAAGGTGGTGGCTCCTGGTGCGGAGAGAACCATGCCGCGTTCCACGTTGTCCTTGGAGAGGTTCACTGTATCCCCGGCACCGACGATGCTCGCACCCACAGAGTCGCCGGGCATACACTCATCCAGTGTTTTATGGTACATTTCTATACCAGCAATCTTCACGGTCATTTTCTTTGCGCTGAAGCCGGAAAGTTCGGCGTCTGCACCGACCTTCATCAAACCTTGGTCCACACGTCCAGTCACAATAACAGACTTTTTATCCTTTCCAATCTCGTAGACATGTTCAATAGCCATAAGGAAAGGTTTGTCAGTGGCACGCGGCGGGTCAGGAATCCATTCATCGCACTTATTTACAAGCTCAAGAATGCGGGCCTCATTTTCAGGATCACCCTCCAATGCCTTCACCGCAGAGCCCCGCACAAATGGTGTCTCCTCCGCAGGAAACTTGTACTTTTCAAGAAGCTCACGCACCTCCATCTCCACAAGCTCAATCATGTCCTCCTGCCCATGCATCATGTCACACTTGTTGATGAAGCAAACAAGAGCAGGAAGGCCAATCTGCGAACAAATCAGCAAATGTTCTCGCGTTTGCGGCATGCATCCATCGTTAGCTGCTACAACAAGAATTCCACCATCCATTTGTGCGGCACCGGTGATCATGTTCTTGACAAAGTCCATGTGACCTGGACAGTCTATGTGTCCGTAGTGACGTTTTTCAGACTCGTACTCCACGTGAGTTGCGTTGATCGTGATCTTACGGCTCTTTTCTTCTGGGGATTTGTCAATGGAAAAGTAGTCAAGTGCCTTTGCTTTCCCATTCTTCGCCAGAACTGTCGTAATGGCAGACGTAAGCGTTGTCTTACCGTGATCGACATGACCAATTGTACCAATGATAAGATGTGGCTTGCTACGCTGAAAAACCTCCTTCTTCGGGGCTAAAAGGCCGCTTCGAATAGCAGCACGAAACATTGGAAAACAATAAGAACAATAATAATAAACCCCGTGCGAATCCCCTTCCTAGAACGCTCTATCTACAATGAGTCTTTCGCGGGAGATCTGTCTCTCTCGCTCGTTACTTAGTGGGGTGCGTGAATGGCAAAAAAAAAAAAATGACTACCTATAGGAAAGCACGGTCTTCTAGAGTCAGAAGGAGAAATCCGTTCAAGTAAATAAATTTGTGTCCAAAGAAGAAGAATACAATTTTTAAAGTAAAATAGAAACGACACATCAGGAAATTTTCCGTCTCTTCCGTGAACATCGTCGCGATAGCCCACATATATTCTCTTTCTTTCCATGTGAGAAGAAGTGAAATCAGGGTTGTTGATTGTTGTTTCCCTCCCCTGTGCATTCACTCACACTCTTGCATCCATTTACATCAGAGAAACTAAGTGACCTCTCGCTCTAATATATTATATATATGCAGAGATGTCACATTCTACTCGTCATTCCCCTGCTTTTTATCATCCCATTTCTTTTTTCTATATGGCGCTCCAATAGACAGTCACCACCGCGTAGATGTGGGCGGAGAGGTCATGTGCATGGTTAACCCAGCCGTCAGCCTGGCTATAGTAGCAGCTAGAGCACACATGAATTCCAGCCCCACATTTCCGCATTATCATGCAATGCACTACGTATTTGTACGGACGATGCATTCCCAACAGTTTTTCCATAATACCATCGCAAATAAGCTGAATCCATCCCTGAGCCTTGATGTGGTCATAGCGCTGGGCGTCGTCTTCACCGCCCTCATCGTCAAAATACGGGCTAAGAACCTGCAAGATGATGTTTTTCACATCATTCGGCGGGATGCCGCTAATCTCCATGTTGCTCCCATGCTCTGTCACCCTCTCAGCCTCCTCTGGCTCAGCGCTGTCAATCTCTTCATGCGACCGTGTATCGTGGAATACTGGAAGCATCCCTGTGGTAACTGTTGTTGCATTTTTCGATGTTAATGTCTCTTCAGTATTGGTGCCAGCAGGTGATCCGGTTTCTTGGTCCTGTACGGTCGGCGGAGCATTCGCAGCAACATCTGGAGCCGGCGGCCCTTCCAATGAGGCTTCTACAGACATGGTAGCGATCCAGTTTGTCGCACGACCTCCCTTGAGAACCGCACAAAACATGTAGGGAAGAAAAAAGACGTCACAGTGGTCAGCACAAGGAAGGTGGGAAGCTCAATAAATAAATAGACAAACAGAAGGGGTAAAGAAGACAACGGATAGAAAAAAAAAAAAAGATTTTTAAAAACGTCAATTTCACACAAGACTACGCAGCCTTGTCAGTTCCTTCGCCTCCAGGCCCAACACAGAGCCACAGTAGTTCGCCTGACGCAAAACTGACTGTAGGAATTCCCGAAGTCTCGCCGAACTACCGCGTAGTGAAACTACACCGGTGCCACTTCGTCCGGCGACGCTAAGAACCCGCCAACGGCTCAATGCGGCAATGGCGGCGTGAAAAGCCGCACGGTCAAGAGCTGCGGCTGCTTGGGTCCCCATAGAAGATGAGACGTCCTCTAACAGGTCAACAACGGTTCGCGCCACTCCCGCCTCGTGTCGCAAGTACACGTATAACAGAACAAAGAATGCTTCGCGGGAGCAATACCCGAGTTCCACAAGACGGCAATCCGTAAGCAGATCGTCAAACAATAGCGGTTGCCTACATAAAGGAGAGGGCGAAGCCGCTGTCGTCGCCATTGCTGCAGCCGCCTTTCTTGCATTCCGAGCGGGTTTCTCGGAAGAAGTCGATAACCATAACGTCCGTACCGCTTCTGGGGCAGTAGCAAAGGTCTCCCGCAAGCTTTTGTCGCTTCCACTCTCTTTCAACCTGCTTTTCAGCCATAATAACATGCCGCGACGGCTCTTCTCGTTAAGGAACACAAGGCGCCCAGAACAAACTTCGCCAAAAACAGACGAGACAGACGCCACCACTCTTCCTGCTGTGGCAGCAATACTCCTCAGATCCTTAGAAACTCGCGCAACGCGTCGCACAAAAACAGCGCCTTCCACCGACTCATGTTCAGCGCGGCTGACGTCGTCCATTTCTGTGAGGACAGCTGTCAGCATCCCTAGCATCGTTTCCTCCAGCAACTGCGTGAGATGAGATGGTGATGCTGTGGATGCACACAATGTCGTATTCACTTGCTGGTTTACTACTTCCTGTGCGCCGCTCAGGACATCAAAGCTCCATCCCGTGTGAGGAGGAACCAGGCTATCCATCTCGGTCCCCAACGGAACTTCAGAGGCAGAGGATTTTTTATTCCTGCCTTTGTTCTTCGTTAGCGCTACCCTTCGTTCAATACGGTGTTGCAAGCTTTCTCTCACCTCTACTAGGCAGGCCCTAGCCACACGACTAGCAGTCCACGGAAGCAATGGGATGCAGCGTGTCTCACAAGTAAGTCGGCTCGAGAGACGTTTCTCCAGCTGCCGAATATCGGGCGTAGATGAAGTCATGACAAGCGACATGCCACCGCCTCGACCATCACTCTCATGCATAAGCCCAGAGAGCACATACAGAAGTTGATCACACCAAATCCCAAAGCGTTCCACGCGACGGATGCAAATAACAAGATTTGTGCCGTAACTCTTCATCAAAAGAAGCGCTCGCTGCAAGGCTGGCAAGGCACTCGAAACACCACCCGTAGCCAACGCCATAGTTGACGTCATCAATAGCAAGCCTTCCTCGCCGTCCATTTTTCCACCTTCACTCTCCGAGTCAACAGGCGATTGCGGACGAGCCCGCTTTCTTGTCGCTTTCTTGTCGTTTTCTTTCCCGGATTTTTTTTGCCGGTTAGCTGCAGCCCTCTTTCGTGCTAGCAAGTTGGAACTGTCATCGTCACTCTCTTGAACCTCAGACTCAGCAAGGTCCTGCTGCAGCAACTTTGAGAAGCCAAATAGAGACCCAAAATCAAAGCTTCCCGTACGCAAGGACCAGTCAGCCGCGCGTAGTTGTGCCGATTGTGGGCGTTTCAAAAAATCGAGAAGTTGGTCCGCAATGGAGCGCAGGCCATCTTCGTCGCCGTTCAGAGTATCACCATCGAGGTAAAAAACAAGTGTCCTTTCACGCTGTCTGAACTCTTTCGCCACGAGGCGAAGAATGCGGTGCTTGCCACACCCACGCGGGCCCCATAGAGCATGACAGGAACGATGCCCAAGTGTACATGAGGCCGCAATGGCGCTGAGGACGGAACGATAGGCCTCCTCGTGCATGCTGAACTCATCACATTTTCCGGCGTCCTCAGCATGTTCGCCTTCTGCCTCTGAGCGTGGTGGGGAGCGTCCTCGCTTCGCCAGGGTAAGAAACGATTTGCCAGTGTGTGCCGTAAGTTGAGCCAACACGCGGCAGCAGTGCAAGGAAAGCCGATACTGGAGATTCGCAAGAAGACACTTCTCGTCATCTTCATTGCTGAGCTGGCTCTTCGAGGACGGCTTCATAATGAAAACCGTAGAGGCTACCACCTTCTACACAGCGGGCATACGGCAAAACAATGAAGGATAAGAACCATGGAGGTAATCTCCCCAGAGAGAGAGAGAGAGAGAGAGAGAGCAGGAAGGAAAACATGCCCAATCACCCCTTTAGTAACGACACACTCGGCGCGGTTGCAGGTGTGTAGGAAAGATAGTCATTGCAGACGCTTTAGCAAAGTAAATAACAACATGCAGAGATACGTTGCCAAATATAGAGGCTTCGCATAAAAAATAAAATAAGACACGCTACAAGAGAGTCAGGGATGAAACAAGAAACAACAACAGCAACGATACATCGACAGTAATAGTAGCAACCATAACGTGGAATATAAGGCCATGTTAGGTGCCTTGACATGACGGAAGCTTATGTATGAGGAGCGAGTATGTATTGGGTACACTCCTACGCGCCTTGAGAGGAAACAACTTCACGCGTTTAAACAGTTGTACTTCCTCCAGTATTTCTACTTGCACGCAGTTGGGTGGGATAACCTCTGTCAGGCATAACTGCGCTTTCTGGCGAGGAAACTCCGACTCCTCCGTCCATCCGTTGTATACCTTTCCACCAGCCTTCACAACGCGTGTCATCTGCTGCAATACACTGCAAAAAAGGGTTTCATTGTACACATGGTAAACGGAGCCAAAACTAAACGCATGATCAAAAAAATTTGAGGGCAGCCAATCCATGCGGGTTCCATCGGCTACACAGTAGCGATTTCGTTTTGTCGTCATCATTCGGGCGTATTCAATCGTTTTATTACTGATGTCAATCCCCATCCCAACGGCACCATAAAAATCATGCATAAACTGCAAGTGGTGACCACATCCACAGCCCCAATCCAGCAATCGATCGTTCTTTCTCACATTAAGCAAACCCGCAATCACACGCAGAATGACTTCATGGTCGTTCAGGTTGACACGATGCCATATGCCATCCTTGTGGCAGCCGTGTGCACGACGATCGTACTTCTGTGAAACACTTGTAGGCTTCTTCCGGGGTAAATGTTTCAGCGGGATTTGTCGTAACTCGAACGAAGGATCATACGGTGGACAGAGAGGCCACTCCACCGGTTCTGAGCCATTTATGAAAACCTCCCGCAAAAAAGTTTCCCTCCTCTCCGACGCGTTCTGTGCGCCGCAGTCCATACCTTTTGGCCCATGACAACGGAATGGCATGGCCTCAACGTCATTGTACACTTTATCCGGCACCCGTGCCGTCCTCTCCCTTGAATGCTTCGTTATCACAAGAGAGTACGTGCTGGGTGTCGACTGCCTCGCCTTCAAAGGAAATACGCGGATGTGAGAAAAGGCTTCTTTTTCCTCCACAATTTTGTACGTCACAGGCAAATCAGCAAGGCACAAGGGCACGTGCCTTCGCTTAAAGTCATTTTCATCACTCCAGCCATTGTAGACTGTTCCCAGCGGTTTCACCACACGTAGCATCTGTCTCAGCACATTACAGAAAAGCGTCTGATTATACACATGTCGCATCGACCCAAAACTGATGACGTGGTCAAAAAAATCCGATAAAATCCAACTCATGTTTGTCCCGTCTGCTACACAATGAAGTAGATCATCAGAGGTTATCAAACGCGCGTAAAAGATCGATGCATTCGCCACGTCTATTCCAACGCTCTTCACACTATATTCCTCATACATGAATTGCATGCTCTGTCCACATCCACTCCCCCAATCTAAAACAAAGGAGCCTCTACCGACGCCACTCATATTGACAATACCACGCAGAATATCCCGATGGTCCTCCGCACGCACACCATGCCAGATACCATCCTTAAGGCAATTGTGCACACGCCTGTTGTATTTTGTTGCCACACTTTTCGCCTTCCTCCGCGGGAGATGTTCAAGTGGGATCTGTACTGTATCCAACGCCTGGGCATCGTACGGTGGACAAGCAAGGCCGCGCAGAGAAGACCGTGGTGTAACAACTTTACCACTTCGCAACTCAACCAACGACTTCTCTACGACCATGGGTGTGGTCACAAACGACGCATGTGAAACAATCAACAAAGATCTTTCCGCACGATCATCCTCCTCTGAAAAAAAAACCAACAAGCAGTGATCAGCAAACCGCAAAACAAAGCAACCACCAGCACAGCGAAACGACAACAAACACATCTCTGCAAAAAAGATACCCGACGCAGAACCTTCCACTTAAAGTGAGATGACATCGCAGATACTACTATGGAAAACAAAAACATGCGAAAAAAAAAACATACAAGCACAACACGTCAACAAAAAAACAATTACATGAACTATACAACAGTAGGCGTTTCGCTGAGACTCTCCGCCCCCTGAAATCACCCCGCTGAGAATGGAACCCACAGCACGAGGTGTTAGACGAGGGCGTCGCGGCAAGCGCGAGAATAGGCCAAGATTCCCGTGGGACGCAGACAGCGTTCACACAAGAATGGAGGGGAGAAGTGGTGGGTGGAAACAGGTCGCTCAACATTTGTACACATTCAAGAGTCCTCATTGGTGGGTCGGTCCGCCTGTCGTTAGACAAGTTTTCATCATTGCGGCCAGCAACGCAACCTGTCGTGGGTGGGTAGGGCAGCAGGTGTCGTCAGCAAGATATGTATACGGATTGTCATCGTGTCGTTTCAGCGCACAGTGCTCTGATTACGGGATCCGTCTCTGAATAAGTCATCACGCCGGCAGTAGGGGATCACACAGCCAGGGGGCGCGCGTCTCGGAAAACC